TATTATCTTAATTTGAAATCGAATCACTTTTCTACCATCGATCACATGTTTATATATTCTCGTTCGAATCTGAATAGCTTATATTTGGAAAATAATCATTTTGCAGAGATCAAAATGGATAGTTTAATGAAATTACCCCCATACGTTGAAGTTTATTTATCATCGATAAATAATTCTTCACGTAAAATGTAAAAAAGTGTTTTATTAAAATCAAAATAATCTATTATTATATGAAATTTATAATAATAGTAATTATGTATATTATTCTTTGCTTAATTAAATATTAGAAAAAAACGAATAAATTAATATATTTGTGATGATTGCTAAAATTTGTTTCCAAAATCGCGCAAAAAAGTACGAGAAAATTAGGCACGAATGTTTGCAATTATCCAGAAGAATAAATAAGAAAACAAATTATTTTGCTAATAATCGTTTGCAAAGCTTACACGTGAATCATTTACATGATTCACTTATATGTAATCATTAAGATTTTATATATAATTTTTTGTCTATAATGTATTTTATATGTAATTGTATTTTATATGTAACTATAATAATTTATATGTAAACTGTAATAAATCGTAGCAGATAGTTCATTTTTATCACATACATTAATAATTGCTATGAAATTCACAGTATTGTACTGAAAATTGAAGTTCTGCAAAATATATAAAAATCTTTCTTTGAAATTAATAGTTTAGATATTTTTTTGTATTAAAATTCTCATTGGAGAAACCGTTCACGTGCTATTTTTTGTTCACTTATATAACAATTAACCAAATATCTATACGGACAAATTGTAAAGATGTATGGAGTTAATAAGAAAAAAAAAAAAAGAAAAAAATAATAATGCTTTCTATGAATAACAAGTCATTTATACGAATACTACACAACAAATAAAATAGGTCATGCCAAGGTGTGAAGAAGCTAACCGAATCTTGAAGAAAAGTTCAAACGCTATATAAATACGCAAACGGATTTGAATAACAGATTGAATAACAGATTGAGTAGTTAATCGAGTAGCGAAACGAGTAGTTAAACGAGAGCCAATTGCTTATATAAAGATTGTCAATTAAAGTTTAATATTAATCTTAAGACTATTATTTTTTAGTAAACCGCGTGCTAAACACATTTTATTTATTTTATTAGTGACAAGTTATCGAATAGGAAAACAAAAAATTCATTTATTCGTATTATACAGGTAAATACATTTTATTCAATGTCATTAACTCATAATTGTGAATTAATATTAAAGATGTTTGTAAAAATGAAATATTCATATAAAAATCATGCTTTACACGCTTCACGCTTTTTTTCCTTCCAATATTAACTACAACTTTTCTTCTTCCTTTTTTTTCTCCTCATTCATTCTCTTAAACTTATAATCACTTTTTTTCGTCTTTCTCTTTTCACACATCCTACTCGTTACATTATTATTTACCACGTCCCTTAAATTTTTAATAAAGAATGGTAAAAAAGCTGGCAATTTCTTTCTCATCGTTGTAATAAATAATTTCTTAAAAAATTAATCCCTGATAAAAAAGTATGTATTGATAAAAGTATGTGAATCAGTTGTTTAATGACATCAAGTCGATGTTTCATTAAATGCTTTAATAAATAAAATTATATAATATATTTGACAGACTTTGCAATCATAGACAAAAATACGATTATAGAATTAAATTAGAATAAAATATGCATTTTTACAAATTATATTTTAAATTATATTATTGTATTTTTTGAACTGCATTACTTTCTGTGGTTATTCTTTTCTTATCGCCTTTTTTTTTTTTAAATATTATTCTGTTTCTAATTACTCAAGAAAAGTTAAAAGTTGAAATATGATATATTGAAAATTGCTTTTTATTACAGATCGTATTCATCATGTGTAATTTAACTACATCTATCATTGTGATGGTTTTTATGAGTACGGGAATTATTCATGGTTTACTTGGTATATCGATATCAACCTTTTCGGAAAGATTCGAAGAAGATCTTAGTTTCCATTTTGAAAAACCGATGGACAGATGTAACAATACGGGACACGATATTGTGCGCTTTGTAAAAACGGGTTTGGAGGTATTAAGGGATAATTTTATCGTCAGCGATTATGTGAAAACTATCAATCTCGAGGATAATAAAATCGTTTATATCTCTCCGAATGCTTTTGAAGGTGTTCCATATTTGTCTTGTCTCAATATTCGTCATAATTATATAGAAACCATATTCGAAAATTTTCTACCATCATTTAACCACACGGAATTAACCACATTGAATTTAGCACATACAGCATATAAAAAGCTTTCCAACAATAATAAGAACCTAAATTCTTTAGATTTTTTAGATTCAAATAAAACAATTTCAGTTGGACCAAAAAGTTTCCTTCCTAATGTTAAGTATTTAGATATTAGCAACAATAAATTATACGAATTACCGGCGTATCTAAATTCTTCATATCCTCGTTTGACTCACCTTTATGCGTCAGATAATGCATTGAGTAATAGTACCTTTAAGCGTATACCTGCGACAACGCAATATTTGTATTTGGAAAGAAACCGTGGCATCATCGAAATATCGTATTTTCCAAAAAATATTTATGGGTTATTTTTAAACGAGAATAATTTTGAATCAAATTTCGGATATCCTTATCAATATTCAAATTTAAGAATATTATCTCTACGAAAGTGCAATAGATTTAATGAAATATTTCCTTACCTTAACAGTAGAAGCCTCGTTGAATTAGATATATCATCAAACAACATAGATTATATTGATTCAAAATTATTAAGAAATACGACAACTTTAAAACGTTTATCTTTAGATCGAAATTCTCTTGATTCATTATTATTTCTATATCCTTTAGATGCTTTGATTGATTTGTCGATTGCTTATAATAAGCTTGTTAATATTACGTCAAATGTTTTTCAAAATTTGATACATTTAGAGAAATTAAATTTGCGTGGAAATCGTATAGCGTTAATCGATAACAATGCATTTTCAAATTTGAAAGGGTTAGAAAAACTTGATCTTGCAGAAAATCGTCTGATGAGGCTTCCTGAATCATGGATGAAAAATTTAATAAATTTGCGATATCTTAATTTAAAATCAAATATGTTTGCTAACATCGATAAAATGTATATAAATATTTATTCACGTTTAAATAACTTATTTGTGGAGAACAATAATTTCACGCAGATCGAAATGGCAAGTTTAGTAAATATGCCATCAACTGTTACTGTTCATCTATCATCGATAAATAGTTATACGTGTATAACTTAACAGATTTTTATTAAATTCAAAATTATTTATTATTATTTAAGACATATAATATTAGTAAAAATGTAGATTATTATTAATCGAAAAAAAATATTATAATCAACGAATAAATTAATATATTAAGTAAATTTTAAATGAATAAAATTTAATTAAAGATTTGAAAAGTCTATGTGTTTATTAATTTTAAATCTATGTCATGATCTGTAAGAACAATGAGCTTGATATGCGAACGTTTATATAATAATTAATGGCACGATAAAGTATATAAATATAATAAGTCACGACAAGGTTTGAAGAAGCTAATCGAATTTTGAAGGGAAAGTTCTAATTAGATATAAATACACAAGCGGACTCGAGTAGCAAAACAAATACTTGATCGAGTGTCTAATGCAATCCCTGGCGGTTCAGGGAAAGTTAGCAATGCCTGGTGTTAGTAATTTCATCGTTAGTAATCGTATGAAATCTATTAATCACGAGAACAATAAAATCGTGTATATCTCTCCGAATACTTTTAAGGTTATTCTAAATTTTCCTTTCTTAATATTCGACGGAACTATATAGGAATTTTGGGAGAAACAAGATTCGAAGTAAATTTCGCGATTTATTTGATCATAATTCATAGAATAATACTTATCTATTAACTTGGTAATTAACGTTAACCGATAACATTTATTTATACAATTAAAAGTATACAATGTCATAAAACAACTATTAATTTAATTGATTTTTCGAAAGATTATAAGCATTAGAAAAAAAATATTTAAAATTTCCTAAAAAATTCATATGTTTAAAAGTAATGGTTGACAAAATTTGAAACATATTATGAATACGTTTTCTGTCGTGCTAAATAACATACAATCTTTTAGTTGAATCGAAAGGTGTCATCTAAAAAAAATTAGAGACTTGGTGTGAAATGTCTCCATATTAAAATATATTATTTTATTTTTTATTATATTATTCTGATATTTTATTGTTGTACACATATATTTTGAATAAAGCAGTATGACTACGATCACAAGCAACGAGCCGTCAGTGGTTATGATATCGTTTTCATTTGCTGACGTATATAAAATAAAGCGCGATTAGAGACAAAAATAATATTTCTGTATGCATAAAAGTATTATTCTAGTAGTGCTTTGATACCAATGAAAACGTCTTTATCGTATCACTACTGAAGTATTCATCGACGAAGAAGAGCTGAATATTAAGAACATACAAAATTATTCAGACATATAATATAAGTTAGTCACGTTATTCGTTCATCGGAATTTTATAGGTAAATACAATGTTTATATATCTAACTAATTCTCAAAAATACAGTATTGAAATAATAATAATAATAAGATAATTATAAAAATAAAATAATCATAAAAAGATCATGTGTAACTCGCAACATAATCAATCTTGAAGTAATTTAAAATTATTTCATATTTTTCATAAACACATCCACTTGGTAACAAAAATATATATATATAAAAAAAAAAAAAAAAACTATTTTAAATTAAATAATTGTTTTTTATACTGCAGAATTACTTCTGGAAATTAATTAGTCACTTTTTATAATATTCTTATTATAGTATGTAAAAAATGTATACTTATTTTTCATACCTATTTAAAATATTTAAAGTTTGGTAAAAATATTATATATTACAGAGATAAAATGCATTTTTCATGTTCTCAAGTAATTTCGTCACATAACATTTGAAACGCATACTTTTAATGTTCTAGGCAGAAAAAATTATGAACAAGCAAACACAAGGTGCAGTATTTGGCGTTTTAAGTTTTCTGGCATTGTTCAGAATTGGACTATTGCAATCCACCGAAGATGGCATTTTATTACCGTTTTCGCCGAATATGAATAACGATGAATATAACGATGAATATAACAATGAATATATCTTTGGATATAAGAAAGATTACGATTACTATGCGAAAGAAGATGCAACATTATCCGCAGATTCTAACATTTATAAAGATATAAATATAGATGAAGTTATTCATAAGAAGGATTTAAATACTGAGAAATCCAATATGGAGAATTCAAATACGGAGGATCCAATGACAGATGATCCATATACTGAGAACAATATTTTAAATGTAAATTGCAATAAATTTGACTCATTGTTTAATTTTTCAGATACGATTATAAAAAGACTTGGAAAAGATTTCCATAATTCTCCGTTTACAAGATGTTTGAATTTTGAAGGAAATCAAATAGAATCAGTCGCGTCTGGTGCATTTAATAGTTTACCAGCTTTGGAATATTTAAATCTAGCTGGAAACTCGATTTCATTTGTATTTTCGTTTAATGGTCATAATAATTTGAAAGTATTAATACTCGCAAATCAATCATTGTATTACGAGCGAATATTGGAAATATCGGGAGAGTATCCGGAACTACGTTATTTAGATTTAAGTAATAACAAAATATCTTCTATAAATCGGCAAAATGATTATTTTCAGGATGTTTATAGTTCTACATATGAAATACGTGTATTTCCTAGATTAAGTTATTTGGATTTATCTTATAATAAGTTGACAACATTCAATAATAATTTTTTATTTAATCGCAATATAACGAATCTGTATCTAACGAATAATAATCTTTATCATGTCGATTTACATATTTATAGCAATTTAGTTGAATTGGTGCTAGAAGGTAATGACATTAGAGGTATCGTTGATTATTCTAATAGTGAATACGTATGGATCGATGAAATGCCAGAATTGAAATATCTTTGGATATCTAATAATCGTATAACCAAAATAGATGAAAGAATCTTGAAAAAAATGAACAAATTAGTTACTCTTGATCTTTCGAATAACGAACTAGAAAGTATTTCAATAGCACAAAATTATGAATTTAATTCATTAGAAAACATATATTTAGATCATAACAAATTATTTTCAATCTCTATGAGACATCGCTTATCAAACTTATCCATTTTATCAGTGACTTATAATGAGTTGAAGGAAATTGTTCCGTATTTTGTAGATGCACCAATTTTGAAGAAATTGTATTTAAGTAATAATGGAATTAATGCTATTCATGAACATGCATTTTCTAAACTTGAATTGTTAGAAGAACTTTATTTGCAGAATAACGTTTTAGAACAATTACCTAACAAATGGAGTCAAAATTTAAGAAATCTTCGTTATCTCAATTTGTCAAATAACGCATTTAAAACTTTAGAATCTTTATCGCTTATCCAGTCTTTACCATTAATAAAAATTGATTTCATAAACAATCCCATAATTTATATGAAAGTTGAAGTTTTGCAAAATTTACCGAAAAATGCAACCATATACTTGATTCCGCAATTTAAAGACAATGAGTTATCTAAAAGAAGTTTGTAGAATTGTATATTATAGGCTTATTTATATTTTTCTGAATTCTTGATTAGCTGTTCCTTATCTATAGTTAAATCTTGGATGTATGTTAAAATGAGATAAATAAAAAAATAATATTAACTTCGTAATACTAATAGTATTTTTTTTTGACTTTAATTTGACTTTATTAAAATCTTGTACTCCTTTAATTCCTACATCTTGACTATTTAACAAATTTTGTTCTTTTTTTTTAATTAAAAATATTAACAACTCGAAAGTTCACATCAGTGGTTTCCAAACATCTTCTGTAATTGTCCGAAATAAATAAATCCAACATTTTACAAAATTTTACATCCGTACGCTGCTAATGAACTAAAAAAATAAAAAATATTATATATAAAAAATTCGCAAGATTGCTTAATTATATAATTCGATACAGATAACTTAACGAAGTCAATTTTAAACTTTATGATGATCTTTTTTCTATATTTTGAAAAAAAAAGTTTTTATTTGAATGAAATAAAAATAATTTTTTACTAAATGCTGACTGTTTAAGAAAGATGTGTGTTAAATTTCATTGAAATCACTTGAATAATTCTTTAGAAAACATTCCAGCAGTTTTACAAAACGTAATTTCGAGTAGCTGACCAAATAAAAAAAGAAGTATGAGATCCAGTGTTATATGAAACATTTGAAACAATATATTACCAATTCGTAAGCAACATTATCAATGATGTATAAAGTAATATCATAATTACCGATTCTTTAGAAAGAAAGAGCTTACTATCTATCCATTGCAGCTATGATTTAAAAAAGAAAGCTGCAAAAAAAAACGTGATATTCTAGAACTGTAAAGATGCAATGAATGAATCGAATGCACAATCTCTTTTATAGATCGCAATTTAAATTTGAACAATTTGGGTCTACTCGCTGGTATCTGTAAATAGATAAAAGTTATTAAAAAACATTATAATTGTAATTAGTTTCTGTATAATAAATGAATAAAATGAACCAAGGAGAGAAAGGAATAAGGATATTATATTAATTAGGAATTTCAAAGAAACTAATTACAATTATAATGTTTATGGTAAGCGGTCTTTRGCTRGATTTTACTTGCARTGGAAYGTATAWCATATAAAATATGTTAAACATTATACTGAAAGTAAAATACCATTGCCCAGGTCTAACCACGAGGAGGTAACCGCTTCCGAAGACCCACGAGGGATATGCATCCTGAAGATGTCTACATCCGAATTTAATTGAAAAGAAATAAGATAATCTAGTCGAGAAAGTTTTTTAAAGAACATCACTCATAGTCCTTGCCCTAAAAATTTTATCTATTCGYGACTAACTCTCTTCGACGTTTACATGTTAAAGTCTAAAAGAAAATTGATTAAAAAACAATATAAGTTATCAGTAAATTTGATGTTATTGTATTGCCTCAGTAACGAAATTAAATTTAAAAAAGTCAACTAAAAAAACAATAAATAAAAATATATTAAAATTATTTTCTATTTTTATTACGTTAATAGGTATGTAATAATTAAACCAGTACATATGTGTTAAAACAAGCTGAAATATAAAGAGAGTGCATTAGAATACTTAAAAAATTGTTAAATAATCGATAGAAATGTCWATTGTTGTAAAAAAGATCCGAATATATGTTCGGAGCTCCGTCTTCTTCGAAATCCACCTTGAGACTGGCACTTTCTCTTCTATGTAATTACTTTTATTGAAAGTTGTTTATATGACTTTTCGAACGTTGTGCATGTGTGTAAAAGAAATAATCCATCTAATCAATAAAATTTAAGATTATAACGTTCTCATTTTAGTATTCTTTTAATTTTTATGAAATTGTTTAAATAAATGCAAATTTGTTTTAACGTTCCTGTGCAGTGGTGACTTTGGAGGGGGAAATTTTCATCGAAATGAATATCACATCGAAATTATTTAATATTTAAAGTATGTTAATAAGTATGTAATGCTTATACTAATACATATATGGTTAAACAATCTGAAATATAAAAAGAGTGTATTAAATTATTAAAATAATTGTTAATTAATCAATAGAAGTGCCTATTGTTGTTGAAAAGCTCAGAAGATATGTTAGGAGCACCGTCCTCTTCGAAATTCGCCGTTGAACTGAGTCATTGTCCTCTAGAAAATTACTTTCATTGAAAGTTGTTTATTTGAGACTTTCCGAATGTTGCGCATGTGTATAAAGGGAATAATTCATCTAATCAATAAAATTGAAGATTACAACAATATGATTTTAGCATTTTTTATTTTTATATAATTGTTTAAACTTATGTACATTTGCTTAAACGTTCCTGCGCAGTAATGACTTGAAAAGTAAAATTTTCGTCTAATATAATATTAATTAGAAATTATTTAATATTCATAGTACATTGATAGGTATTTAATGTTATATGCGTTTAAATAATCTTAAACATATAAGTAGAGTGTATTAGAATATTAAAATAATTGTTAATTAATCGATAGAAATATCTATTGATGTTTAAAAGCTCGGTATATATGATCTATGTACCCTACTCTTCGAAATTCGCTGTTGGACTGAGTCTCATTGTCCTCTATAAAATTACTTTTATTAAATGTTGTTTATATGCCCTTCTATTCTCTATGCTATTATTTAAAATTCTATTAGAATTTAATTATACTATATATGATATCAAAGAATACTGTATACTATGATAGTATTGTACCGTCATCTTGTTAAGTACTTACTATCGCCCACTGCTGGTCTCGGTAGTAACTAAGATAAATCTGGTTAGATAAAAAAGGGAACTTTTGAGCTTCTATCCACTTCTGTATTCTTTGGTTCCAGCATTTTTACTTTTTATTATATTGATAAGAAATGTCTAATATTAAATGTGTTAATTTGATTGATTTATTATAATTGGAATTAAATAAACAAGCAAGATGAAGACACGTTTTAATACGTACGATCTCATTTGCTCCATAACGGAATTACAAAGGTAAATTATAAACTTATTATATGTAGTTAATTTGTTTCTTTAAATTTAGGTTAGGATATGACATAAGTTTCGTTATATGATGCAATTCGATTCTTTTGTCAAATCATTTTCGTTCCTTGTTACAATTATTATTTTTGATAATTTTTGTAGATTAATTGGTATGCGAGTCAATCAAATATACAATGTTGATCATCGTATATATTTGATACGTTTTCAAAGAAGCGAAGAGAAATGTATCCTGTTAATTGAATCTGGTTATAGAATGCATACTACAGCTTTTGAATGGCCCAAGAATATAACACCGTCGAGTTTTTCAATGAAGGTACATTAGAAATGATATACAGGATATCCTATAACTGGTGGTACAAGCGAACAAGGAGTATACGTACTTGACAAGTTTTCAAATTTATTTTTCTCAGGAAAGAGTCTCATATAAACAGATTTTATTTTATATTTTTGACTTAGTTTTTCATATGGAATCATCCCCTGTTTCCTTGTACCATTTGTTACAACACATCCTGTATATTTTTTATGTTTCCATAGAAAAAGCATAGTTATTCATAGTCTTTGAAATACAGATGAGGAAACATTTAAAAAATAAGAGACTTGAAAGTTTGAAGCAAATTGGTACCGATCGTATAATTGATTTACAATTTGGCAGTGGAGAGGCTGCATATCACATAATATTAGAAGTATACGATAGAGGTAATATCGTTTTAACGGATTATGAAATGACAATTATAAATATTTTGAGACCTCATACAGAAGGCGATAAAGTTAGGTAAATATGCAAGAAAATTGATAAAAATAATTAAAAATATTATTTTATATTTTTTCAATATCATTCGATAATGTTACATTATAGATTTGCAGTTAAAGAAAAATATCCATCTGATCGTGCTTATACTACGACCATGGCACCATTGGAAGATATTAAGAAGAAAATAGAATCTGCTAAGCCAGGTGAAAATCTAAAGAAAATTCTAAACCCTCTTGTGGAATTTGGTGCTGCTGTAATCGAACACGTTCTATTGCAAGCTGGTTTTGCATCTGGATGTAAAATTGATAAAGATTTTGATATCGAAAGAGATATGCCTAAGTTGGCTATAGCTCTGCAGAATGCAGATAATATGCTGAATGACGCGAAAGAAAACGTTTCCAAAGGTTACATTATACAGAAAAAAGAAATGAAGCCATCTCCGGACAATAAAGAAGAGTATATATTTACCAACGTAGAGTTTCATCCCTTTCTATTCGAGCAATATAAAAATTGTTCTTATAAAGAATTTGATTCTTTCGATGTCGCAGCTGATGAATTTTTTTCCACAATGGAAGGACAAAAGCTTGACTTAAAGGCTTTACAGAAAGAAAAAGAAGCATTGAAAAAATTAGAAAACGTTAAGAAAGATCACAATCAAAGATTAATTACATTAGAAAAAACTCAGGAATTGGATAAATGGAAGGCGGAATTAATTTCTAGAAATCAAACTTTAGTAGACAATGCAATTTTTGCTATTCAAAATGCGCTTGCAAATCAAGTATCATGGCCAGATATTGAGATTTTATTAAAAGAAGCACAAGAAAGAGGTGATTCAGTTGCTTCTGCTATCAAACAGCTCAAATTAGAAAAAAATCACATTGCATTATTATTAAGAGATCCTTATGAAGAAAGTGATGAAGAGACAGAATTAAAGCCTACTATTATAGATATTGACTTGGCATATAGTGCTTTTGGTAATGCAAGAAAGTATTATAATCAAAAAAGGTCGGCAGCTAAAAAACAACAGAAAACTATAGAGTCCCAAGACAAAGCTTTAAAATCGGCAGAAAAGAAAACTAAACAAACATTGAAAGAAGTACAAACAATACATAGTATTAATAAAGCAAGGAAAACATATTGGTTTGAAAAATTTTACTGGTTCATTTCTTCTGAAAATTATCTTGGTAGGTTACAAATGACTGTACGAAAAGAATTACAGAATAATATGTTAAAATTTTGGATGGATTACAGTAATCGGTGGAAGAGATCAACAACAAAACGAATTGATTGTAAAAAGATATCTTAAGGCTGGAGATATTTATGTTCACGCAGATTTAACAGGTGCTAGTTCTATTGTTGTCAAAAATCCTGGAGGTGGACCTATACCTCCTAAAACTTTGGCAGAAGCAGGTACAATGGCTGTAGCTTATAGGTGAACAAAATTTGTATTTTCTACAATAATGTTTACAAATATTATTTTTGGTACTCTTTTAATATTAATTATAAAGTGTGCATTTATATATATATGTTTAATACAGTATTGCTTGGGAAGCTAAAGTAGTTGCAGGTGCATGGTGGGTAAATAACGATCAAGTATCTAAAACTGCACCAACTGGTGAATACCTTAGTACTGGATCCTTTATGATACGTGGTAAAAAGAATTATTTACCACCATGTCAATTGATAATGGGTCTTGGTTTTCTATTTCGTTTGGAAGATAGTTCCATTGAACGGCATAAGGATGAACGAAGAGTAAGAGTTATAGATGATGAGATTGATAGGAATGAAACTATAGTTGAAATAGATAAAGAAATAGAATTAGAAGAAAACAGTGATGAAGGTAAAATATAGATATAAATGTACATATATCAAACAATTTTATTTGATATCATGTAATGTTGATGTATATCATTTAGACGAATATTTGGAAAATCCAACACAATTAGATTCTATCAAAGAAGAATCTTTTATGGAATCCGACATGATGCCAAAAGAAGATGAGGGTAAACATGATAGTACTAGTGATGAAGACAAAGATTTTCCAGATGTACAAATCAAAATTGATTATTCAACATTAAGGTATTACAATACGTTAATCTTATATAATTTAAACAGTATGTAATTATATTTCATACTTTAACAGAGTGGAGCTTCACGATGAAAATGGTCCTATAGATAAAAAAAATGAGGAAAATATTAGTTTTGTTGGTAAATCTATGTTAATAAATTCTAATAAAGAAGGAACTACAAAATTGTCTCAACAGTTGCCTTTAACATCTGATAAAGAAAGTAAAAAGCTTGAGCAAAGTCAATTGAAGAGAGGTCAAAAAAGTAGACTTAAAAAGATGAAAGAAAAATATAAAGATCAAGACGAGGAAGACAGGCACTTGGCTATGGAAGTTTTACAAGTAAGTCAAATAATGTAATTTCATTATTGCATATATAAAGCTGTTGTATATTCTATAGTCAGCAGGAGCAGCAAAAGAAGATAAACGTCGTAACAAACATAAAGATCCATCTGGCCCTAAACAACAAGGAAAAAAAAAAGGAAATACAAGGCCACCTATGGTAAAAAATATTAATACTGATAATATTGACGAAGAAGATGTAGGACCGGCACCCGAGATGGATATGTTAGACCAATTAACAGGAAAACCAGTTTCCGAAGATGAATTACTATTTGCTGTTCCTGTTGTAGCACCTTACAATACCTTATTAAATTATAAGTAAGTATATATTTCTTTTATTATTTTTTTTATAGATTTCTTGCAAGACATTTTCTTATTTCAGATTTAAAGTAAAATTAACACCAGGTACAAGTACGAGGGGAAAAGCTGGTAAGACTGCTATAGCTGTATTTTTAAAAGATAAAGAGATAACTTTGCGTGAAAAAGATATGTTAAAAGCTGTTAAAGATGAATCAGTAGTTCGAAACATACCTGGAAAAGTGAAAATAAGTGCACCTCAAATTCAAAAAATTAAAAAATAAATAGTATTCCTTGAATAATGGTATAATTTTATGTTCGCTTATGATTGTATATTACAAGTAATTATAAGTATATTTAAGTCTGTTTATTACTGATTGATCAACAATGTTTTATGAAAAGTGTACAAAAAAAAATACAAAAAAAGGAATGGTCGAAAAAAAGGTTTTATTAAATTAATATAAATCTTGTACACGTACAAAAACATACACGCTATAGAAATTTAATATTTGAAATATTTAAATCAAAAATTTTTCATAAAAAATTAACAAAAGTAACAAAACTTGATATTTATTTATCACTTTTAAATAACGCCTAATAATTTAATTTGTTCTATTTCCAGAAATTTAGACTACATAGAAGTAATTGTAAATATGTTTAGATGATATTTTCTTTTTTTTACATCTTTTTTAGAAATCAACATTAAAAAAGTATTTTTTTCTTCCATTATTCACATTATGTATGAAAATAATTAAAATATATTTATTTTGCAAACAATATGATTTTTGCAGCATCTGAATTATGCATTATAAATTATGTTGATTTCAAAGGGTGTATAAAATATCTATGTATTTACACTAAATATAGAAAAGATGGGTATTATAACAATATTTTTTATAACACCTAATGATCGTAGTATCATTAATTAATCTTGAAACATATCTTCATCTGATGTATCAGAATGAATTATAGTTTTGAGTTTAGAATTTGCCTTTGGAGATTTTACTGGTCTTGATTTAGTTCCCTTTGATATAATCTGGAAAGATGGACATAGTATAAGATATTAAAGCATATGTCGTATACAATAAAAGAAATTCAATTTTCTTACTTCCGCAGTATCAGAGTCGGAATCATTAAACTGATTGGTCTTTGTTTTAGTTTTAATCAGTTTTTTAGTTTTTTCTTTTGTAGGTGTCTTCTTCTTTATCTTTGCTTTTTTTACAATTTTAATATCATATTCTTCATCAGGTTCGTCAGAAGATTTAATATCGTTCAGTGCCTTTTTCAAATCTACTAATTTAGCACGTTTTTTATCAATTATAACGCCTACATTACTGTCATCAAGAGCATTATTTCTCATAGGACTTGCTGTTTTCGCACGCGGACTTGACCGTTTTATTCCAACTATTTTATTTACTTTCTTTGGAGTAGATTTAGAAATGGCAGCTTTCTTAGTTGGACTGGATGCGTTAGTAAATTCTAATTTTCCATCCGGTGTGTGATTTAATTTCTTCAAACCATTAGTTAAAATTTCAATAAATTTTTTATAATTTGGTGTTTCATTGAATTTCATTGCTTCTACTAACTTCATATACTTAAGTACAGGTTCAGGTGTTAAACCATCAAAACATTGATCCAAAAATTTTGGAAGGTTTTCAAAGGCTTTTTCTTTTTCTTTTTGTACGACACTTGGACTGGATGGCACTGAATTTTTATCCCACGGAAGAGAGCCGGATAACCATTGTATTATATTATATCCTAAGATTTCCAAATCACCTCTCATTGTAGGCACTGTATAAAAAAACACCATATGAAGATATTTAATATATAAATACAAAGTAAATTACTTTTTTAATAAATTTCTTTTTTGTTTTATACTTACAACCTATGTGAGCATCTCTGCTAGTATACTCGATAGTTCCATCGTGTGCTCTTTTTGGATCTGGTTTATATTCTGCTTTAGTTGTATATCGTGTTGCTAAACCAAAATCTACTAAATAAACTTGATCTGGATGCTTTGTACTCAATAACAAATTAGATCCTTTGATGTCAGCATGAACATATGCTTTGCTATGAATGTATTCTAATACGTTTATCTAAAATGAATCCCACAGAATATTGTTGAATGTTATGAAATGTTAGAAATTGTTAAAAGAAATTATTGTAGGATTCGTGACTAAATTGAGCCGTTGGACTGACTGGAACCGGCTCTTCCGGGTGATTGCTCTAATTTTTGAGCTATTCAGAACCTTCCTCCAGTCAATTTCTTCACGAATGTCTACTTTATTACTAGGGTACATATCTTAATAAAAGGTAAATCGACTCACTATTTGTATAGCTACTTTATATACTGTATGTTCTGGAAATCGTTTGTTATTTTGTTTAAATAACTTCCACAAGTCAGTTCCATATCGGTCCATTACCAAAAATCGATATTTAACATTTTTATGTTCATGGCTTCCAGAGGCAACATAATTGGGCATGCCAAGTACTGATAACTTTCTTTTTGTCTTCCAAGCTTGAACTAAAATAAGTGATATAATATTTCAATGAAGACATCACTAAGTACATATAGTCATTTTTTGTGAAAAGAAATTTATTAAAATATAGGACCCACTGTCTTCTTTTCTTGCTTGTCTCATATAAAAATGCATTTCAACAAATAAAGGCCCATTTTCGTGAGGTTCCTGATAGGGAAAATTTGTAATTGTAATTTTTTATATTATTTTGACAGAATGACATGTTACTTTGAAAAAATATAATAATACTTACTATTTTTATTACGTTAGGGAAATTTTTAGGAACTTTATCTTCATAAGCTGCACCTACAGTAAAAAAATACTTAATTAAAGTAATACGAAAAGGAAAAGAGAAAGATTGTAAGGAATACCTTACATACCAGAATAGACTTCTCCAAAACCACCTACACCTATTGACTTATCAAGAATCCAATTTTTTCCTTTGATATCTGACAATATAGTTCCGGTGGGTATAGGATCAGGCATTTTATATAAATTTCCTTTTTTCTTAGGTGCTTTTTTTGCCACTTTTGCACACATTTTTAGGTTATTGTTATTAAACGTATTAAAAAGGATTAACACTAAATATAGATGTAAAGAAAGTATGATTAAATAACGTGGTGGCGTATTATACAAATAAATAATCGTGTCAAGAAAAATTAAACTGTAATAAGCTATTATCGAATACTAAAAGGGATAGTGGATTTTGTAAAACGATCGTGTTGAGGTAGAATGTAAAAAAAATTCAAACGCGGGCACCGGAAACACAAACTGATAAAGTAAAGTGTTATCAACAATGTCCCTATACAAATTTTTCAACGCCACCTAAATTTAGAACTTTGACAATTTGAATTTATTTTAATTTATTACCAATTAGTATATTAATTATGTTTTTTATAAAGCGAAAAAGAAAATAGAAAAAATTATCATTTGTTTAAAATACATTGTTGCTTTTAAAAGTATTCAATGACGGAAATCGATGTAGAACGTTTACGTTGGTAGTCATGAAAGAGTTTGACTAGTGTTCTCTGCGCGCGGTTTGATTGTTCGAAATGTCAACGGACGTTTAGATGGATTTAATGGATTTTTTAGTAGAATTGACAAGTTAATAAGATAATAATAGTTTTAAATACATTAGAAATGACGTATATTATTTTATTGTTTTTATTACTGTAAATATACTACATAATAAGTGGAAAAGTTGTTTTAAAGTGGCGTCGGTTAGTCGATGCTCATACGAGTTATTTTTTTAGGTTATATTTTTAAATGGAAGATTCGGCGGTCGAATTGCTCGATTCAAAATCTGACATAAATGGTCAATTTAGCGAGTCAATTGACACGAGCTCCAGTATGAACGATGCTGAGGACGAAGGAATTGAACGCAGTTCCAATTATGGCAATTGTACGCCACAACAATCCTTAAAATTTCGGCACGTTGATAATTCAATTTTCAATACAATATCCAAAATAGTTAATCCCGCCGCAAAGGTGAGTAATCGAACACATTGTTACACATTATGACATATCTTTATGCATATTGGTAATATTTACAAAATGTATTATTACGTTTTTTAAAAATATATATTTTCATTTAATGTAAACTCTCTCTCTCTCTCTTTATATCATAGATAATTTGAAACTTATTTGTTTGTAATAAATATTTATATATTAACTTTTTATTTGTAGGTACCCGAAATACAAGATTTTAAAATTGTGAAACCAATAAGCAGAGGAGCATTTGGCAAAGTTTTTCTAGGGCATAAAAAGTCTAATCCAGAGCAATTGTATGCTATTAAAGTAATGAAAAAGAATGAAATGATAAATAAGAATATGGCATCTCAAGTTATAATAGAAAGAAATGCATTAGCATTAACGCACAGCCCTTATTGCGTGCAGCTTTTTTATTCTCTACAAACTGTAAGCAGTGTATACTTAGTCATGGAATATATGGTTGGAGGTGATCTTAAGAGTTTGCTCGGCGTTTATGGTTACATGGAGGAAAGCATGGCAGCTTTTTATACGGCTGAAGTATGTTTAGCTCTTGAATATCTTCACTCTCACGGTATAGTTCACAGAGATTTAAAACCAGATAATATGTTACTTTCCCGAGAGGGACACGTTAAATTGACAGATTTTGGTCTCAGCAAGATATCATCCTTGCATAGGGATCTTGAAATATCGGATTTAGTCAATTGTACACCTAGTCTTTGCACTCGAACTCCAGGACAATTACTTTCTTTAACATCTCATTTGTCCTTCGGTTCTGGGCAACAGTCAGTCAATGATTCAATAAGCAGTAATGAAAGTGCTAATGCTATTCAGATGATGTCAGCTTTACACAGAAATTGTACTAAAATACAATCGTCTCCTAATTCGGAAATTTCATCGATCGACGCTACTTCCTGCGATTATTCTCGCGTATCTGGTATTACACCGTTTCAATCCGCAGAAGATTTAAGGATTGGAAACGAAGATCAAACGAATATGAGGACTGAGAATATGAGTGAAGAGAGTTCAAGTAGTTATCACACATGCGAAGCATCCTCGAGTAATACAATCAATCCTATTAATCGTAACGTAGAAGACGAGGATGAATCTACGTTAGAAGGAGAACATTCACAACATTTACTTATCCATACAAGTCCCGTAAGTACCTGTGTCAATTCGTTTGGACGAGGAACGAAAAGAAAAAGGGTTACGGCAGATTTAACATGTGGTTTAATTCGTGAAATTTATCTTATGGAATTGGATGTAGATAAAACACCAAAAAGACAAAACCGCGGTACATCGTATTCCTGTGAGAGTCCTAAATCAATTGACATGGATTTAGCGTCGAGCGAGATAATTAATGAAAATGAAGATAAAAATGTGGATAATCGTAGCGGTGGTAGTTCAGGTGGTGGAGTTGCTTTCAGTACACCGGTTTCTTCATTTAATGCCGATTCGGAGAGCACAGACCAGACAGAAAAAACGTCTCAGGATAGTTTATCTACTATTCCTCCGGTGAAATCAACAAGATTTCATCTTCCACCTGCAATGTCAACGGAATTTACTCCAGATTCTAATGTCAATCCTATGGAGAGCGAAAATATTATCTCTCCGATCAAGACGCCCGCACCTTCGAGTAGCAATTGCACAACTTATCGCACACCCAAGTCAGTTAGAAGGGGTTTAGGTGCCGGTAATGGTCGGTCGGACGAACGTATATTAGGTACACCTGATTATTTAGCACCGGAGTTGCTTTTACGTCAAGGCCACGGTCCTGCAGTCGATTGGTGGGCTCTCGGTGTTTGTCTTTTCGAGTTTTGTACAGGAGTACCACCATTTAACGACGAGACACCACAGGCAGTCTTTGCTAATATTCTTGCGAGAGACATACCTTGGCCGGAAGGTGAGGAAGCTTTGTCTTCTGCAGCTACGGAAGCAATAGGTGCACTTCTTACGCTAGATCAATCTGTACGGCCGACCGCGAAAGAAGTAAGGGGTATGAAACTCTTTGAAAATTTTCCTTGGAACGAACCATTAAAGGCTGTTCCTCCTTTTATACCACAACCGGATGACAATTATGATACGTGTTATTTTCAAGGTAAGCTTTTAATTCTTTATACTTTCTTTAATCCCAAGTATAATATTGCACTATTTGATTTTTAGCAAGGAATATACTTCAGCATCTAAATGTCAGTAGCTGCGACACGTAACATTTATTGTTATCCCGAAGAGTTCATAACGAATTAAAAACGATAAAATTAGTAAAATTACAATAATTAAATATATATATATATAGTAGATGATAATTGTTACGATATGTATAGTTTTATTTTAATTTTTATTTTTATATACTGGTGTATGTAGATCATTATGAAAATATTTTGTTACTACGTACAATTGACGAGTACGGTCTACACAAGTATTTAGAAACGTCCGTAAGAGAATACGTAAAATATGTACGAGATAAATGTTGCGATGAGAATTTTCGAAATGAGATGGAATATACGTCATATTTTCTGTTTTCTCTTAAGATTTTTTTTTTCATTGAAAATTATTTGGATTTAAATGTGGAAAATGCGCTTAGTATTTTTTTGTAACGATTTTACACTATTAAAATGAAATGTGAATAGAGAGAGAGAGAGAGAGAGAGAGAGAGAGAGAGAGAGAGAGAGAGAGAGAGAGAGAAATAGAAATAGAAAATCAGTGACTTATTTAAGATTCTTGTAGATCCAAGGTAGAAAATGCGTTATTCTTGTATAAACGCCGGGATACTGTCCTTTTCCACAACCGATTCCCCAACTAACGATACCTATTTGAGTCCAACGACCGTCATTGACCATTAAAGGACCACCACTGTCACCCTATAAAATATGTAAGTTGTAACCATTGTTATTGAAATGGTCATTGAACATTTATTGTAAAAATCTTTGGATTGTAAAAGTAGAAATATTTGACAAACCGAACAGGAGTCCCTAGCGGCTTTTCCGGCGCACAAGAAACTGTCGACAATACCACCGGGTGCTGCAGAACCGTATTTAAATTTGCAATCTTTATTCGACCAAACTGGAATTGAAACTTCTTGAAGTACTGCTGGTTGTGGACCACCTTGTTAAACAACAATACAGATATCGGTTAAAAGGGAAGTTGTTTCTTATTTTTAACACACATATATATAGTGTTTTTTAAATATCTTACTTTCTCTCAAGGAGCCCCAACCGATGACAGTTGCGGTCATTCCAGTATAAAGCTTCGAGCCACTTGGCAAGCAAATGGGTCGAATTTGTTCCGTAAATTCGACCGGCTCGCTCATCGTAAGAATGGCTACGTCGTTGTAAAGAGTACGCGAGTTAAAGTTTCTGTGTCTTACTACTCGTTTAACGCGTCTTTCAACGTGACGTATCTCGCTGTTCGTCTTAATATTGTAATCTCCAAGATGAACCGTTAATCTCGCTACATCCCAAGAGTTCATGCTGAGAATAAATTGAAAATGAATGATTTATCTATACGTTCGATATTAGGGAAGAACAAAAAAAACTTAACGTACTTAACAACACAATGAGCAGCTGTGAGTACGTGTTTTTCATCGACCAAAGACCCGCCGCAGAATTGACGTCCAGCATTAAAGAGGGCAGCGATCCATGGCCATTCACCAGGATCAGCATCCTTACCACCGAGAATGCGTTCTTGATCTTGATTACCATTCTTTGCTCCGCATTGAGATAAGTCTATCGGCGAGAAAGTCGTCGAGCTTGGTTTGTTCGTTGTCGAAATTGTTGGAGCACCTGGCCACCAAGTCGGTTTTTTCGTTGGCCACGTCGTCGGCACACCAGGTTTCTTTGAACTCGTTGTAGAGGGATTCAAAGTGGACGATGAAATCAATCCGGGAGGCGGAGGATGAGTGGGCAAAGGTGGGATTGTGTTATCCGGTGAATGAGTTGGTAATGGTGGTGGCCAACTGGCTGTTGGTATCGGTTTTGGTCTTGCTACCGCTCCCGTTCCGTCTTCCTTGACTTTAACATCTTCTATCTAAAATGTTTAGGTTCGATTGTTTAAGAAGGCGAAAACATTCTTGCTAAATTGCTCGCGTTATGGACCTGAAGGAATGCTCAAGGACGAGGTAATAAAGCGGATCGTAAAAAGCCGTTTGTGAAATCTTATTGTTATCGTTGGTTAGTAGATGATAGGATTTTTAAACTTTCTACTGCAGGCCTTAATTGTTTTCACCATCGAACGCGAATTCGTAGTCGTGCTATTAATGTAGAAACGAAATAGGATTTAAAGCAAGTTTTACGAGCTCGGGTTGAGAAGAAATGGTAGAGATTACGAAGAAGGATTCACCTGTGGAGTTTCCTCGTTTTGACCGTCGCAGTTGTCCCCGCCGGAAACAGCGTTAGAATTCAAGTTGGAGCAACAAATTCCGAAACTTGTACGGCCGTCCTCAAGAATGAAACTGCAGGTATCGTAAACTCCAAGAACCCAACCATCGAGAGCACCAAGATCAGGTATTTTGAAATAGGGATAACATTCCTTGAATGTAGTGCACCGTCCAATTTCACCTTTAGACGTAAGACAGCTACCACGTTCCGCGGATCCACTCCAAAGGATGCTTCGACCATCTCTCGACAGAGATGAAGGATCAGCTGCAACGTAAAACCAAAGAAGATAATTAATCAAAGCTCGAATGATAGATGACTCGAGATCAACCAAGAGATTTCTCCAACGTTCAATTTTTCATTTTTGCAAGCATAATATACGCGCTTAGTATTATTTATCCTTTTCGATTTTCAACCGTAGTATCTGCACGTTGTCTTATTTACTAAGGCTGAATTGCGGTATGCGAGAATATATACACTTGACGCTTCGGCACGTATTCGAGGCGCATTAACGATGTCCGGTGAGAATGACACATCGCGTACCTTTTGTAATAGGCAGAGACCGTTCGTCACGTATTTTTACCAATGATTTTCTAATGATACACAGTGTAGTAGGAACACAACGATTATATTCGAGTTCATGTTAGTTGCGAGCAATTTATAAAGTATTTACGAGTCTCTGAAACTGTAGTTTCATTCTAAAAAGATAACTAACTACCAACAAAAAAATTAGCTTGTTCTTTTATATTATTCTCCATTGATTCTTAACGATCGACTTTGGTGCCAGCCTATAACATCGAGTAATGAGTTATGTTAATCCATGTAGTATTGTTATATCGTGTAGACCGTAGACAATGTGATCGGAAATCTGATGACATCATCTTACGAGTGTGTTTACCCCGAGACGAACAATGTGTTCCTCGTTCGATCAAAGATTTCTGGGGACGATTATACAAGTACGTTGGCAATAAAATTCCATCGAAGAATCTGAGAAGGTGGAGTTCGGTGACCCTGGTAGTCGTACTGCGGTACACGTACGATGAGGTTGATGCGCGCCTGGAGGACTTCCGTTTACCGTCTATGGAACGATCGTAGTAACGATCGATCGTCGATCAAGACTATTGTCCTTGCGAGAGAAACAACAATCAACGAGATAGATCATTTCATTAATCGTTATTATTTTACATAGGTATAACGTAAGATCAAAAATTCGACACACGTCTTATATTAAACGAAAAAGATGATGGGCTTCCTTTCAAACGTGGCTAGTTTTATTTTCCAAATTACGTCAGGAATGATATCGTAGATTAAAAAAAAAAAAAACAAAAAAAGAAAAGGACAATTAATAAGATTGTTCTCACCTTCGACAACGATCGCGTCATCTTCTTCTCGATGCAACTCGTTGTGCTGACGATCAGAAAGAGATGATTTAGGAACCGATTGAACGTCAGACGTAGTTTCGGTCGAGACCCTCGTGATTCCTAGGAATCCCAGAAATACGAGTAACGTTGTTAGCAATTGAGTTACTCCTCGTTTACGCCGCATCCTGGAAATCTTGTAGCGTATCTATTATGAAACGTCGTCGTCGCGTGGATTCGCGTTCGTGTCTGAACCGTTTGGCCGTGTACAAGAGAGAAGGTTCAGGATCGGCGTTAAGCTACCAACCTGCCGGGTAGACGCGGACTCGGGGCTTATAACGGGTTCGCCCTTCCATCGACTTACGCTCACACTTGTTCTCTAGTCTCAGCAGGTTCCATATCCAAGATTTCGCGATCTTCTCTTGTTCTTTTAGCGTTTCTTCAAATACATGGATCCTTTTGAATAAGCGAGCGAAGGGTTCGCTAAGGTTAAACATATTCGCTAAACTTTTTTTTTTTAATCCTTTTAAACATCTTCGGAAGATAATGGATCACCACTGGTGTGTTTGTGTTTCAAATGATATGATAAATTCGAACTATTTTCTATATCTTTCAAGAAATCAAGTTTTCTTTTGTTTATCTCTAACGAGAAAAATGAGATACGTTGAAAGTAAAAAAATGTAAATTGCAAATCTCGGTTTTCATTCTTTTAGAATATATTACATATTTTTGTCGTGGCAATATATATTTTTAGGTAGATTAATGATATTCTACGACGAGTTTTTAATGGATACTTTAAATGATCGGAAAAGATATAGAAGGTGTCAATAGAATTTTCGTTGAAAGAAAAAGTGTCGTTTAAATATTCATCAAGTTGTGTAGTAACATAATGGTGTGTGGATCGCACGGACTCTGACGAAGATCAATGTTCTCGGGCAAATGTTTTCTACATTATAACTATGTATCGAAGTTGCTTGGCATATATGTACACATATATATATACAGTCTTTTCCGTCGTCGAATGTAAATTGCTTCTCTTGTGCGTGCACAAAATTAGGTAGAAGAATTCGTGCTGGCGCCACTTCAGAATCTCGTGCTATTCTTTCCCGAAACGTGCAAACCGGTTGGGAAGCTTAAAGATATCCGAATGGGGTACGTTGCACTTGCAACGGTGGATCTGGTCCTTAGAAAAGGGCATTCCTCTCAGGTGATAAATAAGGACACAAAAATCGAGAAAAAAAAACATTTTAGCTTAAACGTTTCGCGAATACAAGGTATATACTTTATTTGTAATATATTGAAATAGTTATATAAATAACGTCAACAAATATTTGTGTGTGGAAAGTTTAGAATGAGAATCGTTAGTATATAACTGTCGTAGTCAAAATGGAATAGAGATAAGCCTTAGAGCTTAGAGAAAATAATCATTTACATTAGGGTTAGTGTCCCCATACAAGGTCGCGGATTCTCGCATAGATTGTCGTGAATAAGACGGAGCCCACGAGATCAGAACGATCGGGTGTATATGATATAAAGAGAAAAAGAGAGAACTTTCCTTCCATCTTCTTCTTCTTCTTCTTCATCATCATCATCATCATCATCTTCTTCTTCTTCTTCTCTTGATTTATCTACCCTTTTAACTTTTTTTTTGTTTTGTTATACTGAAAGATTATGCATATCTGCTAATTAAAAAATCGAGTATATATTTGTCGTTGATTTAAGATAAATGAATAAATGGAAACCTTTTTAATACCACTTTAAATACGAAGATAGATCAAAGTCAAGTGCGTATCATTAAGTTGGGTATCACCCGATTGGTCCTTCTTGCTCGATTGTCTCTTATCGATCATCCGATCCATTTCGGATCCGTTAGAACGATAGATCGATCGATCGATCGATCTGTCGCCAAAATACCTGTCAGAACGACTTGTCACGTCGCTTCATCCGTGAAGCGATCGTCGAACCCTGATTGCAAAGTCGTCGACACGTTTTTTTCTTCTCTTCGCTTGACGTATTCTCCATCTTTTTTTTTTTTTCATTCCTTTTCGACCTCCACTTTTCTCTTTTCTTTTCTTTTTTTTTTCTTTATCTGTTTCTTTTTCTTCTTCTTCTTCTTCTTCTTCTTCTACTTCTACCTTTTCTTCATTTACCAGAGAACCAACCTCCTGTTTATCTTCCCTTATAGGTTTTCGCGCTCCGGATTTTCCTTTTTTGAATTCCTTACTGACTGGTTTCTACGAAGACAACAAAAGGAACTAATAGATGGAATAGGTGGAGTCCTGTTTATCTGATCTTTTAGCGTGATAGTCGGATACACAACACACACGATCGTTTCGTTTTATAACTCTTGATTTTAAGTTATTGCGATTTCGAGTATTAAACCACGTCGATTTAAATATCGAGAAAGAAATTTCAAATCAATATTGACACTTTTCTTTTTTTTTTTTTAAATCACAACCCTTCCTATCTGGCAACCCGTATCTATTTTATTTCACCATACGAATTTTCGTCTAATCACGTTGAAAATATTAAATTGAATTAATGTTTTGAACATAAATATATAACTTAAAATAATTATTTGACTATTAAATTGTAGAAGAAAATGATTGGGTTGTTATAATTTTGAATTCACGAATATCATCGAGTTTATAACATTGACAGAGGAATAATAAAATTCGAAAAGATTTATAAAACGTACTAATATAATATTTATTGTTGCAATAAACATCGAAATAATATAATATCACCTCTGGCACAATCTCACGATGGCAAGACAATGCGACGGAAGAAAGAAAAGATACCACCTTATATTTTATCGTTCTATTATCAATACTTTCTCTCTCTCTCTCTCTCTCTCTCTCTCTCTCTCTCTTTCTCTCTTTCTTTCTATCTTTCCGACGACATTTCTACAGTACATTCTCAAAATTATATATTCCGTCGATTGGTTAAGCGACAGATAAAGAAATAACATTCTTTGCGATAAAAGTACGCTTATAACAAAATTTAATCAGAAATCATCCCTTGAGAATCTTTCTCATCATTTTCTCGTTCTTTCTTTCTTCTTTTATATCATCATATTTACTTCGTTTAATTACGATCTCGGCTCGGATCAATAAAAAAGAAAAAGAAAATAGCTACGAGGAGACAACGAATATTAATCTTCCATTTATATATTTCTTTTTTTTTTTTGTTTTTCCTAAAATAAATTACTACGTGGAATTAGGTTAATTTATTTTTCGAATTTTGGAGAAATAATTGAAAGATAATTTGTTTCCTTGCTTTTTTACATGATTCAAATATAAAAATTCCCTATAACACCCCTCCCCTCCCCTACCCATTCAATAGAATTTTCTCAAATTCGTAGTCCCATCGTAGCTTTAACACGTCTTTATCCTTCGTAACATAGGGAAATAATATTAATAGTTATAAGTATTACAAAGAGATGATATAATAATATTATCAGTTATAATAATAATAATAATAATAATAATAATAATAATAATAATAATAATAATAATAATAATAATAAAATGGCTCATCGATACAGCCGTTCGTATGCGAAAGAAAGACGCGTTAGAACGGTTTTTTCTTTTCGTAAATGAACGACCAACAGGCAGAAGGGAGCTTGGGGGTAAAGGTGGTGAGGGCTGCATTTGGGGGGAGGGTTAAAGAAGGGCTTTGATGTAATTATTATTTATAAAAATGTCATGGAGCAACGCTAACAATTATAATTAAAAGAAAAAAAATGTTTTTTTCCTACTTCTTCTTCATCGACATATTTGCATACGTATGCAATCGTTCTCTTTTTATATCATTTTCGGTTCACATCTATCGTTTCTCAATCATATACTACTCATACGCAAACATACTACACGCACACTACTCACATGCACACGCACACACATACACACACACTCTTTCATATATTCGCACACGTGCGCATTTTCTACAATTCATTGTTTCTCACTTTTTAATAGTTTGACGATCATTTTTGCATTCTCCATATGATTATACATTCTCGTATAAAAATAATAATATACGTATTGTTGTATATCTCTAAAATTGATAGAATCAATAATAATAATAATATTAGCCTATATACTATTAGCGATAAATGTAACAAAATATAGTACTCAATAATATTATGCATTTTACAAGCGTATTTTGATCGTTGCTTTGATATCGGTATCGACAATACGTATGATTAAACGCAAAAACAATATAAATGTCGTGATGTTGATATTTTTTTAATCTAATCTATTACGAACTTATAACGAATAACAAGAGAGCGTATGCGATGTGCATAATAGACACACACACGCGCATACACATTAAAAAGCAAACGGACGATCTTATGGTAATAACATTTTAATATTCTCATCTTCGTTTGGTGGCAAACAATTTCTTTCTTACTTATTTTTTTTTTCCATATCTCATTCGATGTGTCTATTGATCTAATTCGAATTAATTCTCGTCAGATACGCTACTTCGTTTGAATTTGATTATTAATACACAAAACAAAATGGCAAATGGTAAGCGCGAAAAATGACATAATTAATAATACGTTGTTACAGTTTTCAGACTTGGAAGAATTTCGATTGTTCGTCATTTTAATGCATAATAAAGCATTGAAACGATTAAAAACTTTGTTGTCTATAAAATATCTTCAACAATGATTAAAATTATTGTGGGGAGGAGGGAGTGGGGTAAAAACTTTGACTAATAAAATATAACGTCAACATTCTTACTTTAGTATGATTAATGGATAGAATATAAATTTTAAACGATCCACGATCATTTAAGGATCTGAGGTCATTTATTAATGATTTTTTAATTGAAATTTTTTTTTATCGATGGAAAAAAACATTATTAGGCATATCGAAAAGTTTTATCTTATTTAAAAAAGTCGTCGGAAATTTTGAAAGTTGAAAAATGACGTTATTCTTCTTTTTTTTTCCTGTTTTTTTTTTCTAGCCTTTGCTCGTCCATTTCTGGACATATGCTTTTCTTAATTTCTTCCAATTACGTCTACTCGGAGCTTTCTGATGCCAGTGAATTTTAATTATAGTCTCCCTTGGACGTCAGTGTCAAATTTTTGTAGACCATCATTCACATCCATCTGCTTCACAACGTATCCTGCCCATTGGCATTTTTATTTCAGTTTGTTTTCTATTAGCGTCATTTCAAGTTTTGACTGTTTTATAATTATTAAACTTTCCGATACTATCCTTAATTTAGTTTGGCATAAATTCTTTACAAATTCAAGATTAATTTGGTCGAAGACTCGTTGTTTTATCTTCATCTTTCATTCTTATCAAATCTCATTTTGCGATGTAAAAAATAAACAAAATTTAAGCTCTAAACCGCGAATATTGTAATATAGAATTAAAGGAGGGAAAAAAAATTAAAGAAAAGATTAAAGGAAGGAAATAGAATCTCATAAAGAAATATACGTCAGATATACGTACACTTAACATACGATGCAATTCCACTTAAATCAAATTTGTTTGATTTACATTTAACAATCGTTGCGAACAATGATATGCTTCTATTATCTAAAACTGACGATTGTCTTACAATCTAACCGTTTCTACTTCGTCCATCTCTCTGATTCTAAAAATATTTTAATTTCGTTTCGTGGATATTTATGATACGCATAAATCGCAGCATATACATATACTTGTCTTCTCTTTTTCATTTCTTCTTCTTTTTCTTCTTCTTATTCTAACGAGTTAACAAGTAAGCACTTCTTCATTCCAAATAAATAGAAATTCTTGAAGAGATGCAACGGCCTAATTTTTCCACGAATTCTACACGTTTCTCATTTGAAACAAATTTATCTTTATTAAAATGTCTTTAATAAAACTCGTTTACTCGTTCGTAAAGTTATTGAGGACATTAAAAATATGTAAGATTAACCCTTTACCGTTTTTTCGGTAACATATAGCAAATGGCGTACAGATGACAGATGGAAAAATAATAAAACAAAATTTCCTTTATAAAAAACAAGTTGAACACTCAAGTGACAATTTCATTATATCGCTGAACTACTACTATAGACAGCCACGTTAATTCCATTGTGACTACCGATAGTTGAACTTTTTTTTATGCACAGTATTAGGGTGTCCCATAAGTTTCTTCCTTTTTTTTTTTATGCGAAATCAATAGACGATATTTGTTGTTTGAGGTTGATTTACTGTTTTATATATGAACCGTTTTGCTTTATTACCTTCTTCCATCTCTCAGGAAGCCTCATTATTGATTGATCGATTGACGTAAAGGGTTAAAATATGACAATCGAGCTGTTATTCTCGATTTCGACGAAACTAGAGGAAACGAACGTTCAAACTCGTTCGATATTTTGCGCCAGTAGAGATCGATTTAACATTCTCCTAATTATCGAATAATTCTCTTCGGATAATTCTTCGGATAACTCTTCGGAGAACTTGAATTATCTTTTGCAATTGGCTTAACGCGTTTTACTATTTACACGTTGAAAGGTTCTAAGAGGTCCCAACATCTTAGTGCCCATCCTCACGTGTTTCCACTTTCGTGAACGTGCGCGTGTGCATGCGCATGGGTCGAATTGGAGAGGGGTGAATGAGCGAGATGAGGTGGCGACGAGGATAGTTCGATGAGGGTCACGTCGTAACCACTCGAGGGTGCATCACCGGGATCGTTTGGATCACTTGGCGAGCCAGGATTTGTTGAATTTCTTTCTGGGTCTCCGGTCAATCTCGAATGACTCACTTCCAAAAGGAATAAATCTTCGTCCACGTAGTATCTGATCATGTCGTCATCAATTTTCGCCGTAATGCTGAAACATTCAAAGCAAACAAAAATACGTTCTAGCATGATTCAATCATCAATTCTTAGAAGAATGTTTTACTATTTCCTTTTTTTTTTCTTCTTCTTCTTTTCTCAGCAGAGAAAGTATATACTGAGTATCGCGGTTCGCTAATAATAGGAGATATATCATACATATAACAACAAAAAAACGTTTGTGTCGCACGACTATAGTAACGACGGGACAACAGGGATTATCAGGAAGAATAGGAAGACAGACGTAACACGTGGGTTTTCTTTTTCTATTTAGGCTAAAACACATGCCAAATGTTAGTACAATAATGTAGCCAAGCAAAAAATAATGCAGTTGCTTGCGTGGCCATTGATAGATAGCGAAGCTGTTGCGTGACAAGCGAAATAATATGGTAACAGTAGCAACGTGTATGTAGCGTCAGTGCTTTAAATAAAAAACAAACAAACAAATCAAAAAGAAAAAGAAAGAGAAATTAAGAAAATATGAAGAAAACGGAAAAAAGAGGAAGATGAAAGAGAGTGCAGCGTTAGTAGTAGTAGTAGTAGTAGTAGTAGTAGTAGTAGTAGTAGTAGTAGTAGTAGTAGTAGTAGTAGTAAATTTGATGCCAAAGTTTGCGACGGTATAAATAACGAGAGCGCATTTGAAAATCCTAAGGAAACAGTTTTATCAAATATCGTAGATCGTTCGTTTTATTTTACTTTTCGCAAGAGAACGCGTGTAATAGCAGGAGAAAGACTACCAAACCGGAGAGTCAGGTAATGTCACCGTTATGGCATGCACTACGTAACGCGTGCATGCAAGTAAAGATGACACTCTACTAAACTTACCCCTTTGTGTTTTTGCGATAGAGGTTATTAATACTCGAGGATGCAATTTTGTACTTTGACTCAATCTGCAAAATAGAAAAAAGTAGAATATTAGAATTTTGACAGTGGTACGGATCTTCGTTCTTTCGTGCTCGTTTTGTTACACTTTCTTTTCTTCAAAAGAATGAAAGAGAAAGAGAAAGAGAAAAAAAAGAAAGAAAAAGACTAAGAGTATAAGAAAAAGATAGAGAAAAAAGAGGCAGAGAGAGAGAGAGAGAGAATTGCCGCGACCGGGCCGGAATAATATCAATTGTTTTCCACTTTTTTCTTACATTAATTTTCATAAAAAAAAACACCCCATTCGTTATAGTGCAACTAACAGAGATTTGTCGTGCACCATTACGACGGTTATTCTCGACGAGAGTCTCATTGTCGAACATTTTTCGTCGTTCGATAGCATCACATCTAGCATATACATATACCGTTGTTACTGTTTTCTTCCTTCGCGTGTCTAATACACGCGATTATTAATATAGGATTTTTGGAAACAGTCAGGCATGCGCAATATTAATATTAATTAGCGACTGATACAGTGCAAACGAATTGATTATTTTGTCTTGATAGCACAACAACATGCATGGATAATATTCGGTGAATAATCTTTCCTGAATACCCCGTGTGTAATGTTTGTATAATGTGCATTTATATTTGCGTTTTATGCATTTACGTAATAGATAAGTTAGTGATAATTGTCAAGGTAGAGCAATACTCTATGTAATATGAGGGTTCGTTCGTAACGTGATTAAAAAAATAAAGAATTGCTCGCTAGTAGGTGTGGATTTGGATATAGATAATAAGTTGTATATAATATCGGGGAGGATTGTCGATAAATGTGACGTGTGTTTATTGGTGTAGAAAAGATCTCTCGGTTCTTACAGCATTTAGCAGTCCTTGAACAGTCGGCGGTGTTACATGAAGGGGGGTGTAAACGTCTTCGGATTCCTGACGAACGTAGAGCATTACGCGTTCCTCGGCATCGGCTGGACGCAAATGAGATGGTTGTTGTTGCAGGTGCAGGCGATTACCGACACTTGAGACTACAGTACCAGCTAATCCAGCCTGCTGCACACCCTGGAGCACCGAACCTTGCAGTTCCTGCACCTGCATCAATAAGGAGTCCTTCTTGTCGTGTAGATTACTGAGATTGTCGGGCGGAAAGTGGTTGTGGAACTTCAAGGCTGGCAGGCTTGGTCTGCCACACGGATATGGGCTGCTACCCCCAGCCTTCAATCCTCCGCCCTCGCCGTTACTGAGCGACGAGGTGTCGGTGTCACCACCTCCACCGCCGCCACCGCCTCCGTAGAAACTAGACAATTCCATCGTCGAGAACTGTCGTCAAAAGAAGAAACACATTTTTATCTATCGCGACATATTATTCCCTACGAATCTCTCTCTCTCTCTTATATATATATATATTTCGTATATTATGAAATATTTGTTTTGCGACTAATTTGGTGGAGGGTCGTGGCGAAGGGCCGAGAGCAGAGGATCGTGGCATGTTTTTTTTCTTATCGCTTTTTCAAGATTTGTTCTTTTTAATGAAAACTTTGGTTAATAATTGTGCAATACTCGCGATCGAAGAATGGGGGTGCAGATGTTCTTTGAATTTGATTTCCTATCGTATAGTTATTCATAGAATTGTAGAAATTCCCATTTGTTAGATTTGATGGAATACCTTGTCTATTGTATGCTCGGCCGGTGGTGAAAATAATACGGGTGGTTTATGAAGATCTACCATGGAATAAAATTCGCTACGTTCCGTGACCGAGTGATAAAGTTCGTCTAGTTTTTTCCTACCCGTGGCCGTCATTTTTCTTTTAGCTGCTCTTCTTTCCTCGTCTCGAGTCTTCCTTTCGGCACCCTATAAAGTACATTCAAATAAAATTTCATTTTTATTTTCACGACTTTTACGTGACGAACGGTGGTATTTACGTTTAATCATGGGTCAACGATAATTTCATTACCTTATCGCAAAAAACTTTGATTTGACAATAACCGCGATGCGAAGGTGGTGTGTAAGTGTGAGCATGTGGTGGTGGTTCCTCGTACGTGTCTACTTGAATATGCAACGGCAAACCCTTTACACCTTTCTGACTGGAAAAGTCTGTACTCAGACACTGCACGGCTACATTTATCTGCAAGATAATTAATCAAACAAATATATTAATTATCGAATAATCAAATAAAGTTCGATCGTAAATATGTAAGTTTTTCATTTTGAAATACCTTCGCCGATGATTCCAAGGGATTCCAGTAAACAGCAATCGCGTTGTGCGCGACTTCTTCTATACAACCCACTAAACCCACGCTGTTCTTCGTGTCTAAAAGAATGTGAAACATATATTAAACGATGACAAATGTAATTATTGCAACGATAAATTATTTCGTTTGCATTATAAAATTGTAGAACATTTGTCGCGTTATTCTTCAAGTTTTTCTTTTAGTACGAATACTGTTGCACACGATCTTACCCCTTATCGATACTTTCCATTCCTGATAGCTTGCGCAAATAACACGCTTTTATTTCCAACGAATTATAATAAATTTATATTTAAATTGATATAGAGAGAATTTTTGAAGAAACTTACCAGCATCGAGAATACGTTGCTTTACGGAGTGTTGTCTACCATGCCAGAATTGCCATGCTTTTATTTCGTCTTCGGGACTCTTTTCTTCCCGGAACATCAGCATAACCACGCTCTACGCAACAAAAATAGAAAAGAAAATGATGATTACTATTATTATACGTACATGGTAAATAATATCGAAAGTGTCTCTCCAATCGATCGATCTAATTCATCGTTTCTAATGCATTGGAAAAAGAAAAAAAGGAAAAGAAAAAATATATATAGAGGGAAACTAAAAAACGAATAGGAGAGTTAAACGATAAACACCAACAGACAGAAAACACGGGCGAGTGAGTAACTCGCGTGCGCGCGTGCAAATCCATTGCTACCGGATTTTTCGTGTTTCGGGTGAACGAACGAACAATTACATGTGTGCTGGGAAAATATGGATCAGGAGAGGAAAAGAGTGAGAGAGGTAAAAAGGGAGAGTGGAGAAAACAAAACGAGAAACGTATCGCTCGGGAATAAGAAGTCGAGTTACACGCTTGCACTTACATCTTGATTTCTTATTAGCCATAGGGGGAGTATGGAGTAGAGTAGAATATAGTATAAGGTGGGGAGAATACAGTGTAGGTAGGTGTATTATACCGTTCTAGTCGCCACACGCCTTGGACGCTAGCTCGATTAGCAATTAACGAGGAAGTCGTAACTCGTTGGCGGGTAGGAAAGAAAAAAATAGCCACCTTTATCAGAATGGAAATTGCTAACGGTTGCACCGGGCTGCCAATTAGACTCGCGAGAACAAACGAGCTAGCTCGACTTCTTCGATCTTCTTTTTGCTCCTCTCTTTCTCTTTCGAAAAAACCTTTGGGAGAGAGGGTGTGTGTGTGTGTGTCAAAGAGATAGAGAGAGAGAGAGAGAGAGAAAGCGTAGCCGCGTTTTCTATTGCGCTGTAGGAGTCAATGATAATCGGATTTGATTATACTGAGTACCTATGATACTTTCTTACTTTATTACACATGTATTATTTCATTCGTATCTGTTGGCCTGCCTGCGTGCGTGCGTGCGTACGTACGTGCGTGTTCGCGTGATTATTCGCTAAATCAAAAAAATCATTTTTCAACTTAAGATCAAAGATTACGCGTAACACACGATTCTTACCTTAACCGTTTGTCCCGATTTAAGAAGCGGTTTGTCCGGATCCGGTACATAGTCGAGCGAAATGCCATAGAATTGACCCTTATTGATGTACGTTATTCTGTCATCCTCGCGTCTTTGAGAAGTGCTGATGGGAGATTCCAGATGATATTTGAAACCGTACGCCGAAAAGCTGGAAGATAAAAAACAAATGTATGAATATAATATTTGAACGAAATCGTATATACATATATATATATATATATATATCAGGAAGGTACCCTTGGGGGGAAAGAAATCATTCTCCTGCGAATTTTGTTATACTTGAAAATATCTTCTGGCTAAAAAAAAGTGGTGGTGGTGGTTAAAAAAAAAAAATCGGCGCGAGGTCGGTAACTAATTGGCAAAGACATTCCCTCTCGTTCTCCGTTTATCTTTATTCGCCGACATAAGCCGCCCTCCCCCCCCCCTCCTCGCCCCTCCACACTCTTCTCACGGATTTTTCTCGACTATCTCGGTAAACGTAAATACACTTAATAAAGCAATAAATATGCAAATCGACGTGGTTCTCCTGTTAACAGGCTCTTTTCCTTTCCTTCTTTTTTTTCCTTTTTTTTCTCCTTCCCCCTGCCCCCTTTTCTCGTTATCTTTTTAATCGAGTTCTCTCAATTTAATACTCAAAAATAAAAAAATAAAAAAAAAAAAAACAAAGAGGACAATCGAAGAGGAGGGAGAAAAGAAGGGTACACGTTTTCGTCTTTTCGCGTTTAGTTCGTCGGTGTTAAAAAGAAAAAGAACAAAAGTACAAAAAAAGAAAAAAAGAAAGGGTATGAAACTGTTAAACGTGCGGGTTTCTTCTCGTCTCGTTTGAGTTTGTTGGCTCGATAGGTAGATCGGTAGGCAGGACTCTGTTATCTCTATCAGCGAGACGATAAATGGAGTAAGTCGACTCGGAGTCTCCTTCTTTGATACCTATGTAACTATCTACTGTATCCGAGTGCGGGATACAGGACGGGTGAACGTCCTGTACGCGTACACGCTCTTTGCTCCTGTTGCTTGCCACGCCGCCTACTTGCTGTAGATACCTTATTATAACTTCTTCTCTCTCCTGTGTGTGTACGTTACGCGTAAGATCGATACAAACTACCTCTCTTCCTTTCGACTTACCTTATATCCTTTTTTTTTTTTAACTTTTTTTTTTATTTTCCTTTTAATCCTTTTAGCAACGATCGCAACTTCCCTTCTTCCTCGTCTTTTCAACAAGTTAGGAAAGTCACTTATTGGCCCTTCCCTTTCTAATTTAACTAATGTTTTCTATACGAGTTAGTCATTTGTGTCAAATCGATTGACTAAAGTATCGTTCGGATGGTAAATTCTGTCAAAATTTAATTGTTTTTCTTTCCTAGTTCTTTGTAAAAGGAAAAAGAATAATGTGAAAGACTTACATCTTTGGTATCTGTATCTTGTCGGCATCGTTCTGTCTTCCAAAATCGTGCCAAGGCCTTGACCTAGGTGGATTCGGATTGGTGGTAGGATTAGTAGTACCTGCCGCGACGAGACCACCACGTTGCACCTGTGCTTGCGCGTGGCTCTGTTGCAACTGCAGTTGAAGAGGTTGGTGATGTATCACGGCGCCGTTCTCGAGAACAACCGCTGAACCAGTTGCCGTTCCTCCGGGGCACAGTTCCGTATAATCGAAGGACGACTGTACGACATAACGGATGATATTAATGATTAAGAAAAAAGAAAATAAAAGATAGAGGAAATGAATAAAAGAAATGTAGTAGAAATCGATGATCGAATAAACAAGATCGATTAAAAAAAAATAAGAACGAGTTCGGAGTACTCGAGAAAGTACTTGTGTACGTAATAAACAGGCAAGTACTTAGGTACTTACTTTTCTACGAGATAAATCGTTGCGCTTCGTTTTACCGCGAGATAAAACGATGAAAAAGAAGAAAACGGCGCGGTGTGCGGTCTCGTAAAATCGACCGACGACCGCACGAAATCGTACGAGTTTACAACTGCGAACGACTAATAGATTGGTTCACCAAACGCATCCATTTCGCGTTACATCTTTATCCCATAACAAATTTATTCTTACTTCTAGGAAGATAAGCGTCGTTTTAATATCTTCAATTTAGCGGTAAAACTATTCATCAATCTTTTTGAATTATCGTTTACAACGATTGTCTAGATAGCACGTTAACTACGCGTTTTATTCTATCGAAATAAATTATGAATAATTTAACGAGGTGTCGAGTTAAGGATTTATCGTGGTAAAAAAAATATTAAAAATAAAAAATATAATAATAAAGACAATATAATATAATTGATAAAACAATCACGTAGTTTATTATTTAATATTCCTTAAGTAAAAAGTCTATTACGCAAATGTGGGTTAGTTGTATGTAGGACAGAAACATTATAGTAAGGCGATACTTAGGTCTTTTAGCTTTTGAATAGGTTTCGAGGATAGGTGCAGTCACTCGTGGTCGACTCCCTATGGCGGGAGCATTTTAAACTTCGTTTTCAGTACCTCCCGTGTTAGCGAAGCAGAACGAACGCGTGCTTTCTAATTCGTAATGTCGACTGTAATGCTAATGACTTACTCTCTTGGAGCGTGGTTCTTGGCCGGGTAGAAATAACGCGCGATTAAACATTTCCGGAAGTGAACTATTACTTATGACTGATACCCATGTAGGAAAGACGAATTATCTTTAGATCGGTCAAGAATTCTCCTACATCGATATGACGGAACGATTAAAATGATTATCAACTATCGTGCACGTAATGCGCATGTACGTTTTCTACCAGACGCGAGTCGTGCAAATTCAATTACGTGTCGACCGTCGAAGCCACGGTTATTCGCGTATTAATTAATCATACGATCGACGATACTATTAAATTATTTCTTTTCCTTTATTTTTTTTCTTTATGTTTTTTTTTTACACGCACCGTTTGTCGTCTCTTTTTTATTTTCAACATATCGAGAAGGAAAAATGAAGGGAATCTTTGATGAAACTATTTATACGAGCGATAATGAAATAATCAAATAAGTCACCTGATGGAGGGTCGTAGGTGCGTGATGATCTTGCCTAGGCGTAACAGCGTCGGCACCGATCCCAGAATCAGGACTCGGTAAATCGACGGTGAGAACTTTGCTGCTGCTCGACGAGGAACGTATCGCGTGCGTCGTCGCGTAAGAACTGGGTACAACCTCGTATCTCGTGTAGGAGGCTGTGCTCGTCGATAACGAGGAGGAGTTTGAGGATGCTAGCGGTGGAAGAGCGTCCCCCGTTACGTAAACCGCTGTTGTTTCCTGATGAATGCCACTAGCATTCGCGTTATTTGCTCCACTCGTTCCGGACGTCGAAGTGTATGCAGTCGACTGCAATCTTGGACTGCACGAGGTATACGGGTCGTACGGACTACCGTATTGTTGCACCTGCAAAAATAAAAAACGATTTTGTTTAATCGAACGATAACTGTATTATAAGGAGAAAGAATTTTGTACGCGTACCTGTAGCTGATGTTGATGATGATGGTACATTCCCGGCGGCGTGGGACTGTCCGGTTGCGCCTGTTTGTGACGTTTGCTAGATTGTTGAGCTCCGCGAGAGGAACTGAGATCCTCGGGTTCCCTCTTGACCCCGGTAATACCGGTGCTGGAGGAACCGTCGTGTCGGAGGGACTGCGGGCTCAGTGGAAGAGGAAGCCCACCCTGTAGACTCTGGCCAGGACTGTGAGACTGCTGGTTGTACTGGTGGAGGAAATGATGGAGTTCCCCTCCTCCGGCGCCTTCGCCGCCTTCCATGCGATTTGTCGAACTGGAACCGGAGCCAGGCGCCTCCTGCACCAGCAGCTTCTGGCTCATCACACCCCTTTAACAGTCAACAGGGGAATCGACCTTTAACTTCGTCGCGTCCAATCGACGTTACGCTCTTTGCATCGTTCGACGCGAATTGCCATCGATCCCGTCGTCAGATCCCTCTCCCCTCCTCACCCTTCGACTACTACTACTCTTTCTAAGGGCACCTATCGAATTCCATCCCATACAAGTAGTCGTCGCGTATATCGAGGCCAAGATTTTCTTTCTCTTTGCCTATCGACGATAACTTTGCCTCTATGCACGGATCTATTTCAGTCAAGGTATCGAACCGGTTTCATTTCAAATATCTTTTTCTCTTTTTATTTCTTTCCCAATTAATTTCTAACATCGATCGCGAGGATGATCCTAGTTTTGTTCTCAAAAATATTCGATCAATCGACACCTTGTAACATTCGTTATCGATCGATTGTTTCACCGCAGATACGAATCGATCGTTATTTTTTCGGTCTACGTTAGATAAGATAAAAATTTCATAATGACAAGGGAACCGTACGCTGTCCGACGTTGGACGGAACCAATTAAAGCGTTACAAAGAAATTCTCTCCGACTTACTATGGGGTATCCTTCGTTCGACGATATAATTAGACGATATGTCGTTTCAGGTCAATCATCCGATATGTGTCTCCTTCGAGAATGGAGACACGGCGACAGCCCGGCAGACAACAAGGACGGCAAGCAGAACTCGACGATCGCGTGAGATAGAATCAAGTTCATCGTCACCAATTCGATGTGCTTTGCTTTTTCTTCTTTTTTTCATTTTTTTTTTTTTTTTATTTGCACTACGATCTCTATATTATACATTCCCTTACAAAATTCCTACCTTATCGTTAATTCTCTCTCGATCCTTCTTTTCTTCTAACTTTTAAACAAAACCACGAAGCTTATTCGAGACGAGAGAATACATATCTATTTATTATTACTAAGTTTAATTCTTAGGGAAGTTATTTTGTGGACAGGTTTAATTTATAAGAACAATACATTTATCCGTTGAACGTTTCGTCTCTATTTGAGACTTCCTCAGCAACTAAAATTTTTTTTATTATTATGACATATTATTTCTTATACAAATACCAAAAAAACTTACAATAGCGTTATTTTACCTTGATAGTTATGTTCATAAGTCAATATAACATCAATTTTATTACAGTCATAAGTTTTCACTATCTTATATATAGAGTCAATTTTTAAAAACGTTATTCTACCATAACTTTTCGAACACTACTGGTTACCTCTAAGCTGGTGTTTCCTAATCTAGATGTCTTTATTATTATTGTAACCTCTGTTACGTGTCTTGTTGTGGTAATTAAATTTTAAAATTTCGTTATATGTGCTGTTTAAATTATTAGTATCGGTTCTAAAATTAACTGTATTATTGTTCGTTATATGATACATTTCACTGATATTTCTTTTGTACCAGTTATCTTCTTTATCAAAAAAAAAAAAAAAAAAAAAAAAAAAATTTTGGATAAGAGGATAAAAAATCTTTATTATATTAACATATCTATTTATATTTAGTACTTTCTGTACGTTGCAACGCATCTGTCAAGAGCAATGGCAATAAAATTTTCAACAAGGAAAAGCGGTAGAAATGCGAGACTCCCTGTAATCTAGCGTTGAAGAGACCGAAAAAAAAAGAGAGAGAGAGAGAGAATCTCGCGCCGCATTATGCGAAGTAGTTAACATGTTATATTTAGCATGATAATACGTATCCACGGAGTACGAGGGAACCCTTATAAACTGCCAACGCTGTCGGTGCATGCGAGATCTTTCTTTTTTCTCATTCTTCCGTCCCATCTCACAGGGAAGATCGTTCTACTCCCCTCCACTCGCTATCTCTCTCTCTCTTTCTCGCTTTCGGCCTTGCAAACGTGTCGCGGCAACCTTCGCCAGGTTCCCCGAGCATCTCTCTCTCTCTTTCTCTCTCTCTCTCTTTCTCTTTTGAACCCTTGGTATAAGAAACGCTCTTTGCTCCTGTTCGTCGAACACCACCATCACCGCCATCACCATCACCATCACCATCAGCATCGCCATAGCCATCGGCAATGGCACCACCAGCACACCGTGGCACCAACCAACCCTACGGTCAGATGCTTCCGCACAATGGGTCTTTTTTTCCACTTGATACCTGATCCCTGTCCCTGTCCTCTCTCTTTCTATCTCTTTGCGAATGTTCCACTCGCCGACTCGTCTGGCCTCCTCGAGAGATCTCGAGCAGGCTGTGCGTCGAAAAGGGTAGAACTACATACGCAGGTGAGGAGAGCATCAAGGAGAAACCCAACGACCAGAGAGAGAGAGAGAGAGGGAGAGAGAGAGAGAGAGAGAAAGAGTCCCGTCGACGCCATATCTCTGACGCACTTGTACCTTAGAATAAAGAACTTACTACACTACCTCGGGTGTTCCCGAGGAATTTTTCTTCCTCCACGTAGAATATCTTGGAATAACTAACAATAAGAGGGGAGGGATGAAGGAAATCCGTCATAGCCCGGAGGTACTAGTAATAGTAGTAGTAGTAGTAGTAGTAGCATAACGATTGAACGAGAGCTCATGAATTCGGCTTATGTGAAATGGATCCTACGTTCCTGCTCGCAACTCTTTTCGCTGTACGAGTAATGCGATGCTAATCCTTAAGTACACGTTCGAAGAAATGAATTTTCTTTTATTAAAGTTAAAAGTTCACGAGCATCCGAAGGATTTATCGTAGGAAAATATATCAAAATATTCCTCGCTGTAAACGAATGAATAAACGAATAGGGAGAGGATACCAAAAGGGAAAAGAGAGTGGGATTCGTGAAACGCAATGGTCGTTCGCGAGGCCGAGGTTGCGTTGGGATAAAGCTACGTTGAAGAAATTGAAACGGCGAGTACAGAGGAGTAAAAGGTTAGAAAAAGAGAAGGGAAAAGAAGAGAGAGAGAGAGAGAGAGAGAGAGAGAGGAGAGACTTCGCAAGGTACGGGCGGAAAAATCTTAGGTATAACTCGCGAGAGGTCATCGGTCGTACGTACCTCGAGGTTATTCGGTACGTCTATGGCAAATAAAAAATGTGACTAGGTTAACGTACGTACGCGTATATATTATAAGTAAGTACGTTTTACGCGCGCGTTCATGTAATTCACCTTCTCAGCGAAAACCGTAAGACAATCGGCCTGGTATTTCCGTTTCTTTTCTTTTAGCTTGTAGTGTACTAGGGGGAGTTTACTTGTTCGTAACAATGGTTGGAGGTAAGCATACAAACTGCTGAAAATTCAAATGAAATAAGAAGGAGTATTTGTCAAATATCTTGATTACATATAGAAGAATAATTGAAGAATAATAAAAGAAGAAGAGAGATATACACATGTCTCGTAGAAATTCGTGAGTGAGGAGGTAAGTCCATCGCAAGGGAAATACTTGGAGAGTACGTTAATAGTGAGGAATAGCGTCGACGAGTGGACAAGATAGGCAGGCAGGTTGTGCCGCTTGCTGAGAGGTAGAAACACACGTGCACATAGGCGAAGCTTCGAGGTCGCGAGGTCGCCGGCAGGGTCATGACACGCACGGATATACGTGTACCCTTTTCCCTCCATCCTCTGGTTCCACGCACGATCGCAACCTGCGGCGCTTGCGGTACGTTGCTTGCGGTACTAACAGGCTCTTCTCTCTCTCTCTCTCTCTCTTTCTCTCTCTTTTTCTTTCTTTTTCTTTTTGTCGTACCTTCGTAGGATCCGTTCGCAACCGGAATCGGCATTTCTCAAACCGGAAATCAAGTTCTATCTTATGTTGCTCGAGCATGTGCATTTCGGTATATTTACACGAGGGTTAGAAGAGTTATGTGGTGTGCGTATGTTATAATGAGGTACTGTGAAACTCGAAAGACAGGTCCTAATAATATAGTTCATCCTAACAGCTTCTTGTTTCGGTCACTCCCTCGATTATCATTGTTTCTTTACCTACTCGTTCATACTTGCTCTTCATTATCGTATTCTGTCTGTTGTCTCCGTTCATTTACGAATGTCTACGAATCATCTTCATTCTTCTTTTCTACTTTTTTTTCTTTTTCTTTTTTGGTGACTTTACGAGCACGCAGCGATGGTTGCGCGCGCGCAAAGTAAGCGTGGAGCACCTGTGCATATAGCACGTGCCTCTCGTCTTTTCGTTGACGGCGGCACGAACGAATTGAAATGCACGAAACGTGACCGACCACTTTCTGCCACTTCTCACGATTTGTCCTCATCCTCATTCTCCTCCTCCTCCGCCTCTTCTCGTAATACCGCTTTTGTTCTAGGAATATTATTCCGTTCTTGGAAGAATCCTTCGTTTGGATTCCTTGACCGCCGTTTATATTTCCAAAAAAGATTATACACTATAATCCCGTTTGCATTATGACTTTTTTCCAGGCCTCTTTGTTTTTTCATTTTGTTTTTTTCTCTTTCAAAACTTATTCCCTTCTTTTAAAAAATGTCAACTATGATTTTTATCTATGTTCGTGACTTATGCAAATGCGCGGGTCAAACGTACAGGTCTAAGAGTTCGTTATTCTTTCACGTTTTACCTTTATCAGGGTTGAGAATGTTTAGTCGTTAACGTCAACGGAATAAGTTCAATCAAGTAGAAAACAAATGGAAAAAGGGATGAATTACAAAATCCTATACGAGTTGAGTTAAGGGAAAGAAAACGGAAAAAGACAAATATTTAGCTGAATGGTGGTGGTGGTTATACGTTCGTTCAGTGAAAGCATTACGAAGTTTTACAATCGTAAATTTAAATAAACGAGGACTGGCTCGCGCGGGCGCTACGTGTCGAGCATATACTACGCACAGTAGAAGAATGAGAATAAGAATAAGAAGAAGACAAGGAGAAGGAGAAAGAGTTGAAAGCAGAGATCGAAGAGCGAAAACGGAGCATGGTACTGATCGTCGTCGTGCTCGCTATCTGTAGTGGTCAGAAGGCGAACGGCAAGGCTGGTTCTGGTTCTGGTTCTGGTTATTCTGGCCCGTTTCGTTTTACGACGTGACACTGGGCTCTCCTCCGCTTCGCCGACTCGTCAGGTGGGTCAAAGGCCAGGAGAGTAGGCACGCCACGTCTTCTGCACGCGCGCTCTGTCCCTAACTAGATCTCCGCGTAACGATAACTGAGGAACGAAACGAAACGAAACGAAACGCGTAATAACGACGACTGGTCCTCTTCATGGATTCAACGATCAACCCCCCTCCTCCGTAACCCCTAACTTCTACTACTATATTTTTATATTCTTTTTTCGGTTTATCATTCCTTTCTAAGTAATATTCAGTACGTTGCACTTTAAATATAATATTCGTTCCGTATCGTGTAAGAATAATGGTACATGGTATACAAATTATCATATATTTAGAAATATTACTTTACCAAAGTTCAAGTATGCGAAAAATGGTAGACGAGGTACAATTAAGTCATTTCGTCGAGAATGTTACATACGGTACGATTAGATTGGACGAGTGAAAAATTACAGGAAAAGATAAATAGATAGATAGATAGAGAGAGAGAGAGGCAAGGTTTAGTATGGTCAGAGTAGAAGATAAAAAATAATTTATTTATCTCGAGCATATTCTCGGCCCTCTTGTAGATCTACGTAGCAGAGAATAAGCGGGCAATGAAGGTTGTAATAAAAAGGCCGCGATGTCATCGAGCCGAGTTGATACTCGACCCCCCTTTAAGACTCGACTCTACTCGGAGGCAGGTTCCATTATGCTTAGCACTCCTTTTAGCCCTCGGTCTTTTCGTCGACGGTTCTTCGCGCTCCGAAAGTAGGCCGTAAAAAGTGCCATTGTGCTACCATTGCCACCGCTTTAAATCCTCCCGTTGAAATTCCTCCTCGCGTAAGGTTAAACGCACTCGCCCGCTCGCAAGGTACGTTACCTTACGTGCCAGGAAAGTTGTTACAATTTGTCCGATTAAGACCCGATAAGATTCCCCCGCCCTCCCCCAGGAGTCGTTTTAATGAGCGTCGATAAAGTTACTTCAAGAAAAAATATCGCGTGATTTAACTCATAAACTGCGAGCGTGACACACGCTAAATGTTGAAATTATTCGGCTTTATGATATCTTCCAGTTGCGTTGCGTGTATATATTTTGCGTGTATGTTTGCGTGTATACATTTTTATCATGTGTAGTAACTTTAAGTAAGTATCATGTGAAATGTGTACGTCAAAGGTAAAGATCGAACGATTTTTATCCGCAGAAAAGTTTTTCTTTCTATTTCCTTTTTACGAGCCGTGTTACATCGAGAACAGCGGAAGAAACGTATCGTTGTAACTTCACCACCACCACCATCACCATCACCATTACCATCTCCATCACCGTCTCCTCCTCTACCCCTCGAACGTCTCAAATTCCATTTCTCAATACGTAATATACAGTCAGATGTAATGGCACACTCTGTCCGAGATAGGTGGAGAATAGGCGAATAGAAAGGATTGTCAGGAGGTACCTTCCTAATCAAGAAATAATTACGGAATGTCGTTTCAACGAGTTCTCAATGCAATTTCTATTCGTTAATAGTATTCGTTATCGGATTCTGTTCCTTTGCAATTATCATATTCGGATTATTTTATTATAGGATTTTACAAATATGAAATCTTGATATGTTTTTAACCTTGTTCAATTATATAACGCGGATATACTTCGTGATAAATCGCATTATCTACGAACTCTTGTTTCCTTTCTTTGTCGCGAGAATGGGTAGACGCGTTAAAACGCATTATGCTTCTATGCATTTATGTATATTTCACACGTTGCGTTTAATAATTCTAACCAATAATTTACTATGCCTATTATTTTCGAAATAATGTGTTTGTCATTATTATTTGCTTGCGTCAATCATTTTTTCCGCAAAATTATTCGCGACATGACGATATCTGTAACGAACTCCGGCCTGTTGAGTGCAGAAGAAAATAGATAGATAACTAGATAGATAGATAAATAAATAGATTAAAGGAAGAAAAGAAAAAGGAAAAAGAATATCCGGCTTATTCTCGAGTTTGCTCGACGTTAAATTCTGCGTTCTCTGTATTTGGAAGGCGGATATCGTGGTTGTCACTTATGTGCACGGGCGTTTAGATTAAAGCAAGCGATCATGAGAGTACTGGGAGCTCGGCTTTACGGCCGGCGGCTTGCTGTGAAATTGTACGCCGATTCGTGGCTTTGCACCATCATCGTACAACCCCGTGGCGAGCCTTAAGTGACTCGGCTGTGTAAGAGTCGTCTACTTCAACTTATCTCCCCTCTTTCGTCCTATGTTTATGATGCTCGTGGTTCTCCCCCTTCCGTTCCACAAAAAGTCTAAAAGAGCTCGAGAGCTCGAGAGAGAGAGAGAGAGAGTTAAAGAAACATTCCGAGTCGTTCAAATAATTGCAAAAATAGTTTCGATCCCTAATTAGAACAATTTTATTCTATCTCATCAATTAGTCCGCACACTCGGTATACCTATATGTTTATACGCATCTCTCTTGTTTTTTTCCTTATTTCATTAATCAAATTGACGGTTGTTGGCTCTTCGATTAATGGATAACATTCGTCAAAGTTTCTTTTAATTCTTAGCGTTAATCCTCTTTTCTAAGTAATTCTACGAAGTGTTGCATAACCGCGAGAACAAAAATACAAGCGAATCTTCCTCCGTCGTTCGTGTAGGTAAACCACCATCGTAACACGGTAGTTTACAATCCTGTAAGAAAACTCGTCGGTAGAATAAGCGTATTTATTGGCGGTCCTTGTTGGACTTGCTATAACCGAACGACGTCGGATGATTAAAGAAATAAAAAAAAAGGAAAAAGGTTTAAACCTTTTCTATGATCACGAGGGATAGTAACTTTCCTAACGACTGTCGACGCGCGTCTAAACATCGATTAACTTTCTCTCGCTTTACCAACAAAGTATCTTTTTATCTTTTATTTTTATTTCAGAGAAATTTGGTCTCGAGTAAGATAACATGGTATACCGTATTCATTATTATTATTTTTTTTCTTCCTTCTCGTGTAAGATCCCTGACACCAGGGTGCAATGAAATTGGATTAAAGTCGTACCCTCTTTCTCAACTTTTCTTCCTACCGTCTCTTTTTCTCTTTCTAGTTTCCTTTTTAGCTTTTATCGATGCAACCGAGACGAGGTTTAACGATCTACCGTTGTACAAATTGTCGAGATGTTATCGTACTTTTTCTCTTTATTTTTCTCTTATTCTCTCTCTCTCTCTCTCTCTCTCTCTACACCTCACGGTGTAAGGGAGAAGTAGATGCGAGGGAAGATTAGGGTGGAATCTCTTCTCCCCACGGCGAGGTCGTTTGGTAGAACTATTCTACTTTTACTCTACTACTATACCAAAGCACCGAGCAAGAAAGAAAGTAGACATCAGGATTCGTACGTTGCAGATAGAAGATTCTCAACAGTAAATTACAAAATATGCTAAGCGGCTGATATAAATCAAAAGTGGGATACATAGTGGCTCCTTCAAAAAAAGGGGTATATAACGGGGGCTGCTATTAACCCCCCGAAGACTTAGAATTCCGTGCTGTTGTTGTTGCTATTGCCAGAGCCGAATTCTACCTACTTTCGTCTCGCGCGGATCCAAAATATAAGGGCAAGAGACCACCCCTAGAAGAATATCGGTAAGAAAGGGACGACGATGCATGCCACAGTCTCACGAAACCTGTATCATCTCGTTTGATGCAGTTTGCAAACCGAGCAAATGTACCGGAAAGCTTCTCTCTCTCCTTATGCGCGATATAAATAGACACTACTATCGTTCTCGAAAGATTTATATCATCTTGACGGTAAATTATTTAGAAATCCTTCGGGTTGCCGCGTCTTCCATCGAATTTCTATTATCGGGGTGACGGGGTGCGAGACTTTTATGAGATGCTTGTTAGCGAAAGGAAATAGTTATAGGTCTCCCGTTATCTTTCATGGATTCAGACGAAGTCTCAACATTCGTACCAAAAACAAATCATATAATTGAATACTTGGTTAGTTATACGCGTTCTCAGTGCTTCTAAATAACTCTTGTATGGATAAATCTTCTCGGGAGTGTTTCCTCGTTTGCACACGGTCACCGTTATTAATCGTGCTCCCTTCCACACGGCTCTACCACCGGTAATTAACGTCAACACGAGTTGAATTGCGCTTGGTGTGTTTTTAACGTCACTTACTCGCCGACTATCGCAAGATCTACGCTAATCGAGTTTTACCGATGGTAGAGTACTGTGGTATGCGAGTCGACGACACGTGCGTTCACACCTACGTGTTAGGAAGAGTAGGCGCGCGCGCGCATACTATCCACGCGTTGCTCGAAATAAAATAAATAAAATGAAGTTACAAAACTTACGTGGACCAAAGCTCGTGCGTCGGGGGTAGTTTGACATCGGTAGTGGCTTTTTCCGGTAGCTTGTAGTACTCGTAAACGTAAGAAGCTGCTGGATCGTCGCCATGGCTTGCAACAGTCGAAACCTGATGCTGTTGTTGGAGATTTAGCATTGCCGCGGTCGCAACGGAGAGCGGATGCTCGCAATAAGCGCGCCAATCGCCCTCCATACCCTGCACCTGCACCTGCACTGCAGTTACTCTCTTGTGAACTTCCGGATCAGCCTCCTCGTTTCCACTCTGAAGGGACTGAGCCGCAGCTTGTGCCGCAGCCTGAGCCGCAGCCTGAGCCGCAGCCTGAGCCGCGGCAGCCTCCTCCGCTGCTAATTCTTCCTCCTCCTCTTGACTTTCGCGTTGGGATACGTAGCCTTGTTGTTGTTGTTGTTGCTGTTGTTGTTGCTGCTGTTGTTGTTGAGACTCGTCGCCGACGGTAACGCTGCCGTTCGTTTCTTCCTCGCTCCGACTTCGCCGTCTGTCAGAAACAACAATCATACGATATAAACTTCTCGATCTTTTAGTTTTACTATTGAAAATAGCATTCCAACTTGAAGTATATACTTTACCACAAACGCGTCCCAACGTTTTCGAATATGCGCGAGGAATTAGAATTCGCGTCGGACCGAAGCGCTACTAGGGTTTCATCCAAAGGCTAAGCTGATCATTTAGAAAGACGTCTTTCTCCGAAGGTCGCAGATTCTTAACGTTGCCGTTTGACCGAACGAGCGAGAAAGAGATGAATAAGAATAAGAATAAGAATAATAAGAAGAAGAAGATGGAAGAGAAAAATGTGTAGGAACCGTTCGGATGGTAGTAGCAAACCGGCCGTGCAGGTAACGCGATAAATTATTCCCAGACTCATCGAATTTATCAATTAACGACGATCTCTTGCGCGCAACGATGATTCCTCAATTTAGCAATGACCACCAACGATGGAAGTCATCGGAGTCCTTCTCTCGCGCCTATATTCCTCGACTATAATTTATCGTCGACCTATACATCACGATATCTAATCGCCTCCTTCTTCTACCCCATTCCCCCTCCCAATTCCCTTCCTAGAGTCCATCTTATTTCTTATCTTTAACTGGCAAATACCCGAGCCAGCCATGATTTTCATAGCAAGCGCATCGAACAAACGTCCGGATATTTGTCACCGTTTCTTACTTTCCATCGGTGTAATATCTTCCGGCTATAAACAGGGKGGGGGGGGGGAACTATCTACGATGATGCGATTCATGAGGATATTTAAAAAAACGGATAAAAAAAAAGAAGGAACGAGAGAGAGAGAGAGAGAGAGAGAGGGAGAGAATTATCTGTTGGCAGTACAAATACAATCTCGGTGAACGATTCTTACTCTGCCACTGGTATAGGCAGATGCCTCTTTGCAATCCTTAAGAGGAAGAGAGTAAACGAAGAAGAAGAACAAGAAGAATAAGAGGATGAAGAAGAGAAAGAAAGAGAAGGCAAGATATATACACGTACGAAGATTAATTATTATAAACCCCTGCCTTTTGCCTACAGTCATCAATTTATACTCTCTTCTCTTCTCTTTTCTGTATGTATGCATGTATATACGTTTGCATGTACGTACGTAGATCCCAATTCCAATCCCAATTCCAACCCTGTGCGATGGAATAAAGGTTCGTCCTCTCTAATTTATGCATGTAAAATCAATCTCTTCTTCTCTCGCTTTCTCTTACCCTTATACCCTCACCCTCCTTTTCCTTCTCTCGTGTCTACGCCACGTTCTCTTATTTCTTCTTCGGCCGCACCTGGATAACCGTCAGCTTCCGAAAGAGCGAAAGAGTAAAGTGAAAGAAAGAGAGAGAGAGAGAGGGAGAGAGAGAAAGAGGCAGCCACCCTGATAATGAGGGACCGAGTTATCCTGTGCAAATATTTTCCTTGGTGACTGTTTGCACAGGCACTACATCCCTCTCTTAAATTCTATCGAGTCCTATCACCCCTCTTACACGGGCTCTCCTAGAATTCGCGCGAATAATTCATACGTAAGTGATTTTTCTGTGAATGATATCTGAATCCGGTTATCTCATTTAGACGAATCATTTTTATTCGTGATCACGAGGGCGCGATAATTGAATTCGCGATGAAAGCGCGTTAACAGTCATTTAGATCAGCGCCAACCATGTGCTGCTTTTCCTATCGGTCGGATGCACTTTCTTTTTTTTCCGTTGAATCCTTTTTTCCCCTTATTGTTGATTCTACGTCGGTTGGTTTTTATAAACGACTGACTACGTGGATCGAGACGGTAAGCTTATTATTATCCGTGGAAGGAATTTCACGAGTCGCGCAAAAATGAGCATAGCTTCGTGATCATGCGAATTCGAAGTTACATGTTATCGAGAGATCGATGTCAGTGTCATCGAAGCGCCGAATAAGCTTTTGCGTTGTCCCGGCCTCGTCTCGAACTATCTCGAAAGAGTAAAGAAACATGGGGGAGGAGGGGGAGGAGGAGGGGGAGAAGAATCGAATGAAGAAGCAGGACGTGCAAGTTTTTCTCGGCGCGTTCCACGAAGATTTTCGACGATGCGCGGCGCGTTCTACCTTTGAGTCTTCGAAGGACGAAAGAAAACACAGCGGCGTGGTGCTGCTGTTGCTGCTACTGTTGCTGCTACCGCTACCGATGCTGCTAGTAGTCTCTCCTGCAAACGGCACCGATCTACCGTCGCTTACGATGCCCAAAGAAATACGCGAGCGTTTGAGAAGAGCACTCGAAGAACTCGCGCTTCGACGAACGAATTTCGGAATAATGCGAGCACGTAGTAGCGCCTACGTGCTCGGAATACACTCGTGTCGCCTGCTAACGGGGAAAAAACCCTATATATATATATATATATAGGGTTGCTTTATATATAAAGAAAATATACGGATAAATATAAAACAACCCTCCAGACGTTTTATATACGTAGGTATATGTCATTTTATTACGCTTGTGTAATTTTAACTTTATACGTAATATCAAGGTTGTTTTCTTAATTTTATCTCTTTTTTTTTTTCTCTCTCAACGGGAGCACGAGAAGACAAACTTGCGAACGAATCTCTGAACTCTTTTTCGTTTTATACCGTTGAAAAAGAAAATTTTAAGGGTGATCCGTATAGCCTGCCGGATACATATGCAAATTCGAAAGAACCCTCCGCGAGAGACATCACCTGCGCATCCGGTTTTTGAACTCTTATTTGATTTACCTTCTCTCGCAACTACTTGCTTTCAGACTATGCAGAATAAGGAAGGACTTCGAGGATGAGTTTGATCGAGTTTTTTTTTTCATTTTTTTTTACTTCAATTTACTTTTTCTCACACATATTTATAAATTTGAACAACCAACAATTATATTTTTACGCGATACTTTTAAAACTTATTTACCAGTCGATCTTTCTCACAAATCCTACGAACTTATGCTAGCTCACGTCTACCTCAAGATTGAGAGAGTCTATCCATCATAATTCCCGTCGTTTACGGCTCACCGACGCAAGTCGGTGAGCCTTCAAAAGGTCGAGAAGGTAGTTTATGGCAGATGTCGAGTTGGATGGGATTTAACCGATGAACTTTAACCGATGCTAACGATCATTGAAAGATGAGAAAGAATGATTGAAATAATAGCTGAAAGAAGTCATTCGATAGACGAGTTCTGTTCAATGATTCCACGGCATGTAATAATACGGTAAAACATAACCATAACTTACGTTTGAATTAACATCGATAGGAAAGGAAAGGTGGGAGGTTTTACTTTAGAATCCACCCATAGATATATGCATTTAAAGAAATAATATAAACTTATGCGCGATAGTTACATTCGCAGTGGCGTATGCACCTACCTCAATACGTAAATGTTGCAGGTAGGTAGAACGAACGCACAAAGAGTAAGAAGAGAAAGAAAGAGTCGTTTAATATTCCGTGGGTGTATCGTCCACGCGACCGAAGAACCCACCCTGTTTGCTCCATCTTTCGCATTTCAATAAAGTCGCCTCCGTGCACTTCTCAACCGTTGTTTTACGATCTCATACCTGTATGCTCCACAAAGATGTTAAACATATGTTACAGAGAACTTATCGTTGCCGTTTCTACGGTTCGATATATTTTTTCAAATTTGATTTCCTTATTTGCTAGGAAGGAAGGAAGGAAGGAAGGAAGGAATGAAGGAAACATCGATAGGAAGATATCACATATATGTAAGTTGTGCAGGTTCCCCAAGATGGTGGAGAACATGCGGAGACCCATTCGTGGGTGATATATGGAGTGGAAAATGCCAGGTATAACGTATGCTCTGCTTTATTTTGATAACTATCTCGATCTGATGTCGTTGTCTAAGCTTGCTCACACGTATCCGTCGTTTGCCAGAGTGACTCTCATCGCGACACGCATACTAATTTAACAGACTAAATTTATGTTCCTGGCCAACCGGTAGGTAAAGGTTCTATCTATATATATATATATGACTTTACGTATATTATATATGTATATGAAAATCTGGAGATTAATTGAGTCAGGAGAAAAAGTCTTTTTTAGTAAAAAATAACGTAAGGGTATAAGTTAATCGGTAGGAAGGGAACGATCGAACGTATGCTATAACTAAATAAGTAACATAATAACATAGAACGATATTAATAATTCTACGCAAGGAAGAGTTGTAATTAAACTGTAAAACCTGTGAGAGAAAGATGAGTATTAAAAAAAAAAAAAAAAACAAAAGATAAGAAAACTATCTATGAAAGTCTCGTAATCAAGGAACTAATAGTTTCGTATAATTAGTCGATCCCCCGAGTATGAGTATTGAGATCGATAACGGAATTTATCGTTCGTGGATTAAGTCATTCGTAGGTTAATCGATCGAGGAGGAGGAAAATCATCGACAAGATAGATCTCGAACGAGAAAATAAAATATTAAAAGTGAGGAAAGAGAAAGAGCTAGGAAGTTTCTGGACGTCGTCGTTTAAAGTTGCGTTAGAGAGAAGGAGTACACCGTACGTCGGCTCGATTAATTTCAATCATCGGATCTAACGAAGAAAAGAAACAAATAGACAGACAGACAGACAGAGAGACAGACAGAGAGAGAGAGAGCTTTAATTACGTTAATTTCCGCGTGCACGGTTGGAAAATGCTTACGGTCAGTAAGATAGGCGTCTTCGTTATCGCGTAATTTTATTTAAAGAAATGTTGGTTCCGCCTTCTCTCTCGCTCTTGTTTAAATTCTCATTTTATCTTCCTCGACCACAGGACTCGTTCTTTTTGGGACGAACACGACGCTGTTCGAAGACTTCAGGATCGTTATTCCTCTGGTCTCTATCCCGAGTAACCGGTAACTTCCGGCGGCAAGCCATCGCGAGACTAAGTACGAGCAACTTAAGAGAAGGATAAGAATGAATTAAAAAAATATCAAAAAAAAAAAAAAAAGGGTAAGAAAAAAAGAAACGACTAAATGTCTCCCTCGCTCCCTTCTTCTTCTTCTTCCTCTTCCC